ATTTCTTTCCCTTGTAAAATGACTGCTCTTTTGTAAGAAAGTTTGCTGAAGGTTAGAATATGTAAAGTACAAAATACTTTTGTCTTTCAGAATTTCTCTTTGTTGAGCAAAAGAATAGAAACCTGCGACACTGTCATTCAGCTCAACATGATTTGTTTGCACGTATTTGTGCCAGAACCTTGGTTTGACTACTGCTGAAATATAAATTAAACTCCAGTAATTTAATTATTCAAAAACATCTAAACCTCGGATTTCGGATAGAATTCAGGACGTTTCATGAGAAGGGCATCCTAAACTGCATTGTCTTTCTGGACATGTGTGTTCATGCATGCCTCTGTTTGGGTGTGTGTAAGACGGCGCTCGCTCAGCGTGTCAGTCGGCAGATTTGAGTCCAGGCACTTCCTCCCCAACACACTACAGAAGGAATACTTAAGTATGTGCGTGAGCAAGTTTGAAATGCTTTCCTTCAGTAAACATTCTCAATATATGGGGTATGTTGAGATTAGCATTAATAGACTTAGTCAAAGAGGTTAAAATGGCTCTGAAGTAAACATTTTGACGAGAAGCGGTATTTAAACTCACCTGCGCGTCAACACCAGCCTCTATATTTAGCTGTGAAAATAACGGTTGCATTTACATGGGTTGCAGTTCAAAGTGGAAATAACATTAGGACAACACTGCATTCCCAGACGGATGCTTTGTATGTTTGGAGCAACACAATTAACATGTGTTTATTGCACACACCCTAACCAAGTCTATTCCGGTTGCCCTGAGTGTGGCAGCAGGTGCGGTTTGCCTTGTGAAAGATTCATTAAGTGTCTGTCCAATACTCAGTGTGCAGAGAAGCGTGTCGCTGATCTGGCAACCTCATACTAATGAGATGCCATCCGCCAGAGCGCTTTTCCTTAGAGGAATCTAATGAGGTGTTTGTAATGAGGGAATCAACATGCTCGCGTTTTGAAATTTTAGAGGTTTTCGGCTGTAAATAAATGCCAAACTTGTACAGAAAACGTCAACTAGACTCGGATTGAAAGTCTCTCTCATTAATGCCAGCTCGGTTGATTACCCCAGAGAAGAAATTAACAGTTTTCCTCAAAACACAGAGAAGAATGAAAGAAAATGAATGTAATGTAATTAGTAACACTGGGGCAAAGACATGATAGTAGAAGTAGCCCTCTTCACCCACTCACCTCACGGATCCTCTTTCTGTCTTCGGATTGGCAGTTGAAAACAATGTCGCGCCTTGTTGTCTCAAGTCTCAGGTGGATTGATGTGTTTTAATGAAGTTTGCCACTAATTTAAGAAGGCAAGCATTGTGCAGTGCCATTCTTTTGTAAACATCTTCAAAGAAGATGGCTCGATTAAGTTTCTAAAGGCACACTTTGACAAAATAAGGTAATTTGATTAATCTTCAACTATGACTAGACATTTTCTGAAAGTAATAGATTCTGACGCAGTGCAATTTTGTGGTGGAAATGACGGTTGTGGAAATTGTTGTAATAAAATGGCTGACTCCTTTGTCTTGAATAAAAAACAAACAAATAACGTTTAATTATTATTTTCACTCTTTACCAAATCAAAATTAGAGCATGATTGGAAATATTGTTTGCAAGTTTGAGTAAGAAATGGTTTATATCTTTGTTGAACGTAAAATGTATCTCAGATTTGTTAAATTTGTTCTAGGTACCTCTGTATATCTATACATTTCTGCTTGATATGCTACAGCCAATTTTAACTTGTGTACTTTGAATTGTTTTTGTAGGGCTCCCCCCCATTAAAGATGTTTCTAGTCGCCTATTAGTCACCCATTTAATACGTTAGTCCAGTAGTTTGATGGTTTTGATCTTCATTGTATTGGTGGTGGCATCGGAAAATGGATTCAGTTTTAGAGCTGAAAGAATATTAAATGTAACATTGTTACATTATGAAGTAAAAATAAACCATAATGAGCATTAAAATATAAATTAACTGCTTTGCACCAGCAAAAGCAATGATTATGAATGTGTCGGGAAAAAAAACATCAAGGAGACTGTCTGAACTATTTAAACTATTTATTAAAAAGCTAGTGTTTTCTGAGTTAGTGTCGGCTGCGCAGATGAAGTTGGTGACGCTGACTCATCTCTGCGGTGTAGTGGATGCGACAGTATAAGAGAGAAATGCACATTACTACCTATGCAGGAAGTGCTAATTCAGCTTCTGTACTCCACACAAACACTTGCGCCTAATAATAGTGCATATTTATCTTAACGGTAGAGCGAGCGGCCATGTAAAGAGATGACTATCCAACTTTATCCAATCAAATTAGTCTTTTAAAATGTGAAATAAAATGTTCTCGTCGACTGAAGTCAACTAAAACGGCGCAGCCCTGTTATTTGGCATGCAAATACTGTGGATGCATATTAATTATCACTTGAAGTACAGTACCATGAGCTGTTCACATTCTCAGTTTTGTCTGTCTGTAAAAACTTTTACTATACGTTTGATTCATAAGGTCTGTTTTACTTCAGAAAGCATATGCAAAAATATGATGTCATTTTATGTTCAATGGGAAGTGTTTTAGCGATACATTTCAAACTAGAGGTGTTAATGTTAAAAAAGATCAAATCTTGACACTTTGAAAACTTTGTCGAATAAGGGACAGCATGGCTTGCTATTTTGGTTTAAAGTTTGCTGGCAGGGATTTGGAGGGCGTGAACTAGTTTGTTTGCCCTATTATTCTGTAACAAAGTGAGATTGTAATTGTTTGCAGGGCAGAAATGTCGCCGCTGGCTGTCTTCAGGAGTGCCAGACTGTCCTGGTGACAGAATCCAGTTAAACCCAACATCCCACTCTTGCTTTTCTAATACCTCTATTATCTAAAACTGCTAGAGGGAACCAAAAAATGATTAAAGGATTGACATCAGTCAGAAAGAAGGTGAAGGGGAAGGTCGGTGAAGGGGGCAGTGTTGCAGAAGGCTTATCTCGTTCTTTTCACTTATTTGTTTGAGGAGGTGTAAGCATTTCTTCTTGCGCATGGTGAAATATAACTTGACCATTCTAGTTGCATGGTAATCTAGGATGTCCTGTTTTTTTCAATGAGTTTAGTTGAATCTCATTTTGATTAATACAATTCATCAGATGCATTCATTTATTCTCTGTGGCTTCCTAAAAATATATTTGATTTAATTCATGATTTAAAAAAAAAACTTTCGAAAATAATTAAGATGTGTGCGTACACTCATAAATTCAAGATGTAAGGAAAATATGTTATTACTTTTACCTGATTGATAAACCACGTGATATTTTTTATATTGAAAATGGTTGAAAATAGCATAGAAATTTATTTTTTTAAAACATACTGTATGGAACGAACATGAATGCAAAGAGTAGCCATTCTTTTTGGTTAAGTTGTGGCCACTTTTATTTGACCCATATTAACACATTTCAGTTTCTTTTGGGAGTTTAGTTGATAAATGTTTAATTGAATTGCATGATATGATATGGTGATTAATTAATTATCAATATCTTCCGAGAAAGCCCACTAATGAAGATTATTCACGAACATTGTTATTCTGACAGAATAAAGTAAATAATCAAAGTCAATATATTTTACATTGTGAGTAAACTAAAAAATCTACTTGAATATTGCAGTCCATCTTAAAATGATATCTTATGTAACTAGACTGCATTGTAGTTTGATTAGGCTATATGTGGCATTTGATGATCAGTCTAGTGATTTCTTTTTTTAAATGTTTGTCAGTTAGTTCTGTCTGGCTAATGATGTCTCTGAAAGGTCTCGTACGTGGTGTGTTTTCAGCAGATTGTGCCACTGATAACGAGGCAGTGACAGCAGGGACACCAGCGAGCAGACTGTGAATGTCTCTGTGTGGACACACTCCACTGAACATTATTACAGAAGATCTGCAGGGCTGCATTTGAGCGTAATTGCGCTGTTGGCAGCGGCGTGGGTCCCACGTGAGATACAGTTGTTCATTTCTTAAAAGGATGTCAAACCTAGAGGATATAGGGCTGAGCATAAAGGGACTTGGGAGATAAGCTGTGACTTATTAGACAACACCATTTCTTCCTGTTTAACATTATCTTGGTTATAGATTATTGGATAATGTCCATTAGGTGAGAACATTTATATATTATATGCATTAACCAGAGCATGGAAATAATCCTAGTATGTGGCCGTGTCCCAAATGGCACACTTGATATTGGGTTATGGTCTTTGCTCCCAGGTGTCCCATTTGTCATTTGTGACATTCAGAATGGTGCTTTTTCTTTGTGCACTCGGCGGACCATATGCAAAAATGTGGACGCATTAATATCTGGTTACATGTGATGTAATGATCTTGTTTCTTTAGCATTGAAATATGACTGAAATCAGCTCTATTCCCCTCACAGTGTTTGGATTTCTTTCTTTTTTTCTGAAATCATTTTTTGAGAGGACATCTGTTCAGCTCTAAAAGCCATAATCCAGAGAATGAAATTATATTCCAGGGAAACTGCATTAATACAGGGAAGATTTGGCCAGATAAGAAGGGATTAAGTGCGATTAAAAAAATGTACTGTTCTGTGTTTGATCCACAAATTATGGTTATTGCCAGCACTCAAAACGATTCTGGTCTGTGTATTCTCTGCAGTCAGGTGAGTTTCACTTATAGTCATGTTTATCTTTGTGAGATATCCCTGATAAACATAGCCAGATAAGTGCTCAATAAAACAAACCTCCCTGTGTCGGGAAATAAACAAGCGGAACAATGGGCCGCATCTCAGTTGTGTTGTGTGGCAACACCCAGATCATGAAATATGTATAACTTTCATATACTGCATTGCTCATTTTCAAACAAAGAGTAACTGATACCTCCTGAGGTGATGCTACACATTTAGTCCCCTTGGATACAGTGATGTTTTTCCATCTTGTGCCACTGACACTGTTGCAATGCTAACAAGAAAAATGTACCGAATACGTGCCGGAATGGTGCAATTAATGCTGTTTTCTGTCTGTCTCTTAGGTTTGGTGCAGCGGGGTGGGCAGAGAGGCGAGCGCATGAGGAGAGGGCGTCCTGAGACCCCCATCTCCACCGCTCGCACACACACGTTCACGGACACACCGCGCCTACAGCCCTCCAGCCGCCATGGTAAACCCCTCATCTTCTGTTTGTGTGGCTGATACAAGGTTGATGTCTAAATGACGAAATCTCCCTTACATGTGTTTCTGTCCAAACCGCTCTAATCTAAAACGAGTTAAGATGTGATGGAGAGTTGAGAGAAAGAGAGAAAAGGGGGGAGGAGATCAGCGTTTGATTAATGGCCCTCACCTCCGGCTTGTGGAAGCAGGGTCTCATGGGAGAGTAGGGCTGTGCGGTTTGAATTATTAAAGTCTGAGAGTTGGGGGGGAGGTTCATAAATAACCCAACGTAATGAGCGCCCTGCTAGCGTGAGCTCTAATGCTAACCCAGCTTTGCCACCGCAGCCGGGGTGACCTTGGATATGCACACGCAAATGCACACACACCCAAGCACATCCCACTGCTTTCCTTTTAGCAGCTTTCAGTGTCTTTTGATTCTGTATCTGTATTGATTTATTGTGCACATAACGAGGTGACCTTCCTGGTTTCACTCGACTTCCTGTCAAACTGTGTGTATCTGTGGGCTCTGCCACTTTGGCCACACACACACACACACAGAAAATGCACTAACTCACACTGGCTGTGTGTCGGCTTGACCCTACACTATCTCAAATAAATTGAGTTTCAGAACATTAAAAAAAGCTCTATTATGAAGCTAATGGTGGTCTGAAAATGAATGCACAATTTTTTTTAGAGTTTTGTGTTTCTGGCTTATAGACTGGTTCTGCATTTCGTTGGTCTGGTGTTTTTTAATGTCATTGAAAATGATTTTTTCTTGTCTCTCAGTTTAAAAAGCAAATAAACAAGCAAACATTGTGCATTAACACAATAAATGTTAAAATAACACACATTTGAAAACATAGCCCAAAAGTTAAACCTTATAACGTGTGATTTTTTTTTTTCTGTGCTAAATGATATAAAGTCTGTAAACAACTTTCAAAAAATTTGCAAGAATATGCAAAATTTGCACCTTTTACAAGCTGGAACCACTTTAAAGCCTAAATAATGTTCATTTTAGGGAAGAATTTAAGTGCTTTAACAAAAACGCAAGCTTCACATTTCAGCTTTTTAAGCCCTCTGCCTCCATTGTATGTGGCTTATTATTACCATGTTTTTATCAGAAAAAAATTAGATTGAATCAAAATTATTTGCAGTGCTTATCAACATGGTTACAAATAGAACATAAACTGCTTGCTTGCTTTTTTTAAAGTTGTTTTTGTATACATTTTTAAAGCGGCATTCCCCAGGTCTATGTTCTAGGGCAGGTTGAGATTTAAACACTTTGGGCATCAGAAAGCTGCTCACGCACACTGCCACAGTCTGTTTGTGTCAATCTCACCACACACACACACATACTCTCTCACTCATCAAGAAGACCTGCATCAGTCAACAACTATTTGTGGTTAGTCTATGCCTACAAGTCTATAATAAGTAGCCTCAGAGCTTTGCAGATCATTGCCTGACTGGAAGACATTTTAATTAGGGGTGTGTAATTAATTTATTACTGAACACTGACCTCAAATATACACACAGAGATGACACAAAACGCCAGTACCCTTGTGTGGTTATTTATTCCATCTGATAGGCAGAGCAGGAGCTATAAATAGACATTACTACAGTAAACACTACTATTTCAGGGACATTTTTTTAATAAATAAACCTTGGAAAATATACATTTCCCTTTTAGTGGACTTGATCCTTCTGTGCGCGCATTTGTCCATCTTTCTCCATTCGATTGAGATCTGTTTGTCTGAATGGGTTCTCAGTGTGCCATTTGTTAATCCAGTGGTTTGATGAAACCCTCCTTTGCTTGATTATACTTGATTTCTTTGTTTCTTTCTTCCTCTCTCACACATGCATGCTTACTTGTTGTCTCTTTCTTACTCTGCCCCCAGGTTTCACAAATTTAAGATTCCTTTCAAAGCACCTCCTAAAGAATCCTAATAGAATCTTGCAAAGAATCAAATAATATCTTGCTCTGTGATAGTCTCATTTTTCTATTTGGTCGTAGAGTGTTATACTATTATGCTATTCTCAGTTTAGCCTCTGATTAGTTGAAGAATATTGAGGTTTGGTTAGTTTAAGAACGATCTGTTCCAAATTACAATAAAAACGGCATTTGCAGTTCTGTACCTAGACGAAAGAGCGGACATGAAAATTACTTTCAGAATCTTTCTAATGTGAATTTTTTTTAGCAGTAATTGCCACTTTATTTGGTACACCTGTTCAACTTCTCATTAATGCAAATATCTAATCATATAGCAGCAACTCGATGCTTGTCATCTTGGCTTTGTTTCATGAAGCATTATTTTGCTTCTCTTCAGCTATGATAAAGCATCATTTATTCACAGCATCGCCATGCTTGATTTTTAACAGGAATGAAAGCGAGGCTGTGAGGTGTAGACATATATCTCGTCAGTGGGTTGTATTGTTATTTAATGTGTTTTTGGATTGTTCTGCTGACTAAACACTACAAAAAAATCTCAGACAAATTGAGCTGGGGAAAATTGTGATCTAGGACCTTTTATACAGCTTTTTACACTGGATGCCATTAAAAACAGTAAGTCTTATCTCTCGCAGCCTCGCTTTCATACCGGTCATGATGCTGCTCTGAATAAGGTCTATTGCGTGTTCGTGCATTTTGGGGGGGCAGAGGAATGAAGGGAGTGTTTGTTTGGATTGATTTTTTTTTTTTAAATATCAACAGTTTTTCTCAGAAATCTCTTACTGCACCCTTTTTCATTGCAGCCTAATGTGTTTTATGTGGTAGTTGAAGATGCCCAACACTATTGTAATACTCTATATAACCATTATTCTGTGTGCAGCTTGTACGTACTAAGCTTCTTTCTATCCTTATCCATTCTTTCCCTCTTGGTATGATGTGTGATTAAGATCCAGTGCTCTCCGCTCCTCCTTAGCTATTTTACACTCTTTTACACTTCCCAGTATGTTTTACGGCCACTCGCAGGCAGCCATTAGGAGCGCCTCATAAACCCTGTTAAATACTGGCCTGATGCCACAGAGAGGCCGCTGTCACTGCCGGGAACGCACAGATATGCATCTTTTTATCCCAGCCACCCACTACTGCAGATGCTGAAAGACACACGCTCTACAAGGCTGCTTTAATGTTCTCAAACACGTGTAGTTTGTATAGCAGTGTCAAAGTGTTCACTCTGCGTCACGGTAATTGATCAACTCCACTAAAGGTTGCAGCCTTCAACCATCAGTGCTTCGCACTCGACAAACAAGCCCGACCATGAAGGTAAAAGAGTAGCAATGCTCGAGAGCACGTAGATGTGAATTTGAGAATGGTATAATAAATATGCATTCTTGAATGTGAACATTTACACTCACAGCTCCAATGTGAAAACCTGTTAAACAAATAAAGTTGAATGATGAAATTTGCACTCACAGATAATAGTCACACACCTGTATTTTGAATTTGAAGCTGCAGACAAGTTGCCACAAATGTGTAAAATGCCATTCACAGAAATACAATGACACGCACAAACATGGAATATATATTTGCATTTATTCGTACGTTCACATTCGTAATACAACCTCAATTTGGCATTTGCAACTACTAAATTTTGTCACTGCACGCGCCATTACTTTTCGCGATATATGAGGTGTAAAACTAAATTCAGTGGCGGCGAGGGAGGGGGGCAAGCCGTTCACACGAGCCGTTTTGTTGGTTGGCACTTAGTCAATATGACAAAAGAAAGCAAATTTGTGTTTAGTGCAAATAAACCAGCTTCCTGCGTTTTATCAATAATGTATAACGAATTGTGTTTTTTTTTTTATAACTGTTGGTCGATTAAGCCTCATTAAGCATTTTCTTGGTTTTCTATGGGAGGAAAATGCTTAACGTACAATTAAACGAGTTGCGGTCATATTCTGAGCTCAATTGCTTTTCTGTATGCTTTATTTATGGTGTTTCCTGAGTTTAGTCCTTTAATACCATCTGCTTTTCTATAGTATACATTATTAGCATGGTGTTTACTAAGTATATAATTTATTTTTTTAATATCAGTTTAATGCATTAAGCCATGTTAGCGTTTCAGAACATCCTCTTTAACCTTCATACCCAACTGTCAAGCCTCCAGAGTAAAAATATCACTGAATTCCGATTGAAACAAATTAATCTTGTATTTCTTTTGTTGCTGGTTAAACAACAACAGGCGTTCAGAAGATTGATGCATTATGTCGTTTTTATGTGTATAATCTGTGAAAGGTCAGACCCCCCACCGGGAACTGCAGTAGCACTGATATGGGCTTTGATACGCTATTCAGCAAGTCTGCTGTCGAATGTAGAAATGGTACAGGAAGAGCGACAGAATGAAAATGACGGGATTAGGGAATAGAACTCGTGTTGAATATCTGATGTCATTGAGATGCCGGCCCTGTGAAGGATGATGAAAGAATTGATGAAAGATTTGACTGGTAGTGCACACCTACCTTTTTATATCTCTCTTTTATTTTTTTGTCTTCATATTGTGCTGCGTGCAGAGACTAGCTTTCAATGCGCAAAAATTGGAAAACTCTTTATTTTTTTATATTATCTTTGTTGGTTTGCAAGATAATTAGATTATATGAAAGATCTGCATAGAAATGTTTGCAGTTAAACAGCTTGACACATAAAATACCACGAGATTCGTAGATTTTTCTCATTTCTATTCATCAAAGAATCCTGTGTCTTGGGTTCCACAAAAATTTTAAGCAGCAAATTTTACATTTTTTTTTTAAATGTATTTTTACATTACATTTACATCTACTAGCTAGATCTGCTTGCGCTTTGGTTGACGAAGCAACAAAACATCCTCGCACGGCACAAGCCATTGAAATGAATGGGTTTCGTATCGCAGCGTCACACATGCCACGTCTTGTTGCAAAAGCATGTGAAAAAAAAATACAAATTCGCTTGACCAAAAAGCTGTTAATCGTGCGTAAAACAAACAAAAAAATGTCGCCGTTGATGTGTTTAACTGACAGCCCTAATTTCTCGTTAATGCAGTTATCTAATCAACCAATCACATGGCAGTTGCTTTAATGCATTTAGGGGTGTGGTCAAGACAATCTCCTGAACTCCAAACTGAATGTCAGAATGGGAAAGAAAGGTGATTTGAGCAATTTTGAGAGTGGCATGGTTGTTGGTGTCAGATGGGCCGGTCTGAGTATTTCACAATCTGCTCAGTTACTGGAATTTTCACGCACAACCATTTCTAGGGTTTACAAAGAATGGTGTGAGAAGTGAAAAACATCCAGAATGCGGCAGTCCTGTGGACGAAAATGCCTTGTTGATGCTAGAGGTCAGAGGAGCCGACTGGTTCAAGCTGATAGAAGAGCAACTTTACCTTAAATAACCCCTCGTTACAACCGAGGTATGCAGCAAAGCATTTTTGAAGCCACAACACGCACAACCTTGAGGCAGATGGGCTACAACAGTAGAAGATCCCACCACTCATCTCCACTACAAATAGGAAAATTAGGCTACAATTTGCAAGAGCTCACCAAAAATAGACAGTTAAAGACTGGAAAAATGTTGCCTGGTCTGAGTCTCGATTTCTTCAGATGGTAGAGTCACAATTTGCCCTAAAAAGAATGAGAACATCATGCCTTGTTACCACTGTGCAGGCTGGTGGTGGTGTAATGGTGTGGGGGATGTTTTCTTAGCACACTTTATGCCCTTTAGTGCCAAATGGGCGTCTTTTAAATGCCACGGCCCACCTGAGCATTGTTTCTGACCATGTCCATCCCTTTATGGCCACCATGTACCCATCCTCTGATGGCTACTTCCAGTAGGATAATGCACCATGTCACAAAGCTTGAATCATTTCAAATTGGTTTCTTGAACATGACAATGAGTTCACTGTACTAAAATGGCCCCCACAGTCACCAGATCTCAACCCAATAGAGCATCTTTGGGATGTGGTGGAACGGGAGCTTCGTGCCCTGGATGTGCAACTCACAAATCTCCATCAACTGCAAGATGCTATCCTATCAATATGGGCCAACATTTCTAAAGAATGCTTTCAGTACTTGTTGAATCAATGCCATGAAGAATTAATTTCTGAAGGCGAAAGGGGATCAAACACAGTATTAGTATGGTGTTCCTAATGATCCTTTAGGTGAGTTTATATACATACATACATGGATACAATGGGTAGAACAAGTGTTTGATACACTGTCAATTTTGCAGGTTTTCCCACTTACAAAGCATGTAGAATTCTGTAATTTTATCATACTGTAGGTACTCTTTAACTGTGAGTGACGTAATAAAAAAAAGGAAAATAACATTGTTTTTTTTTTGTTTTTTTTTGTTTTTTAAGTAACTCACTTTTGTTGCCAGCAATTTTGACTATAATGGCTGTATGTTAAGTTATTTTCAGAGGGCAGTAAATATATACTGCTATACAAGTGCCATTGATTTCATTTCTGGTTCAAAATTGTATGCATCTTAAACATTATGAAACTGCCCCATGTTTGCATTATCTCTGTAATTAACATTCACATGCACTCTTATTAAGGAGTAAATCATGTCAAGAAAGATTAATTGCAACTAAGTGATTTTGATGAATTGTAGGAGACGGCAGAAACCGCAGTTAAGTAGCTGTTCTCTGGTGTACCAGTGTTTGATTGAACCAGTGAGCTCTGATTTCATCAACAAAATGTCAACAACATTTTTTTATTGTTAATTAAAACAGCAAAAAAAAGTGTTTTCATTACTTCAAATAAAATCAACATTAACTGATATACACTCACCGGCCACTTTATTAGGTACCCCATGCAGTAACGGGTTGGACCCCCTTTTGCCTTCAGAACTGCCTCAATTCTTCGTGGCATAGATTCAACAAGGTGCTGGAAGCATTCCTCAGGGAGTTTGGTCCATATTGACATGATGGCATCACACAGTTGCCGCAGATTTGTCGGCTGCACATCCATGATGCGAATCTCCCGTTCCACCACATCCCAAAGATGCTCTATTGGATTGAGATCTGGTGACTGTGGAGGCCATTTGAGTACAGCGAACTCATTGTCATGTTCAAGAAACCAGTCTGAGATGATTCCAGCTTTATGACATGGCGCATTATCCTGCTGAAAGTAGCCATCAGAAGTTGGGTACATTGTGGTCATAAAGGGATGGACATGGTCAGCAACAATACTCAGGTAGGCTGTGGCGTTGCAACGATGCTCAATTGGTACCAAGGGGCCCAAAGAGTGCCAAGAAAATATTCCCCACACCATGACACCACCACCACCAGCCTGAACCGTTGATACAAGGCAGGATGGATCCATGCTTTCATGTTGTAGACGCCAAACATCCGAATGTCGCAGCAGAAATCGAGACTCATCAGACCAGGCAACGTTTTTCTAATCTTCTATTGTCCAATTTCGATGAGCTTGTGCAAATTGTAGCCTCAGTTTCCTGTTCTTAGCTGAAAGGAGTGGCACCCGGTGTGGTCTTCTGCTGCTGTAGCCCATCTGCCTCAAAGTTCGACGTACTGTGCGTTCAGAGATGCTCTTCTGCCCACCTTGGTTGTAACGGGTGGTTATTTGAGTCACTGTTGCCCTTCTATCAGCTCAAACCAGTCTGGCCATTCTCCTCTGACCTCTGGCATCAACAAGGCATTTCCGCCCACAGAACTGCCGCTCACTGGATCTTTTTTTCTTTTTCGGACCATTCTCTGTAAACCCTAGAGATGGTTGTGCGTGAAAATCCCAGTAGATTAGCAGTTTCTGAAATACTCAGACCAGCCCTTCTGGCACCAACAATCATGCCACGTTCAAAGTCACTCAAATCACCTTTCTTCCCCATACTGATGCTCGGTTTGAACTGCAGGAGATTGTCTTGACCATGTCTACATGCCTAAATGCACTGAGTTGCCGCCATGTGATTGGCTGCTTAGAAATTAAGTGTTAACGAGCAGTTGGACAGGTGTACCTAATAAAGTGGCCGGTGAGTGTATATATATATATATATATATATATATATATATATATATATATATATAGTACCTGTGCATTAAAATGGTTTTATTGCGCACCTTCAAGTCCAATTAGAATTGAATATATCATGGTCTGTCTGAATACTCGATTCTTATTGGCTGGAAGTTGTGCAATAAAATTGTTTAATGCAGGGGTAGTTCCAGTTAGTTTAATCAAGTACACAGTACACACACCACTTGAACACAGACTTGAACACCACTTGAACACCCTTTCGGTCAAATATTGTGCTGCAAACATCAATAACAGTTTTAACTTGTCAATGCTGGCAAATAACTATGGTATAAGCCACAGATAATTCACAGCAAGCTGCGCATTAAACGATTTCAAAATGCACTCCACTTCGAGTTGGGTGGTTTTTTTTTTTTTTTTTCTGCCATGCATTAAAATAGTTTAATGCACATCTAGCTGTAGGTAATCTTCCTTACACACATGCACTGCATTTAGCATTATTTGCGTCACTTTTAGCACCGTTTTAGCACCGTAGCATCGGTCGTGCCCGTTGAGAAGCGTCTCCCTGAATTCTATTAGATCTACTAGATTGGTTATTAGATCTAGTCACGAAGTGGGTGACATTAGCTGAGAGACTGACTGAAGGTAAGAGATAGTGGATGATGAAAGACAGTAGGATTGAGGGTAAGTGGGAGCAGGAGGGCTTCACGTCTGATTAAAAGAGGTTGTTGGGTGACTGTCACTGAGCTCAAATTGATTTCCACCCGTGAGGATGATGTAGAACACACTGACACCTGCAGACACGGGTTAATACAGCACATCAGTGTCTGATGGCGTGTTCCAGGGTGTGAGACACGGCTTCGGACATATGTGAACCTCTTTTTGTAAGCTCTGTAGATGTTACTTCCTTAGACGTTTGTTTTGCCATGAAGGCAAGCAGAGGTGAGTTTGATTGATTAAAGTTTAATCGGCCGCTACAACCTTGCATGTCTGTTTTGCGCCCACTTTACTTTAGGAGATAAATTGAGGAAGTCAGCCAAGGTGATCTTCAGAAGTTGTTAACATAGTGGTGTTTGTGTGTAGCACCTTTATTAGTGTTACGGCTATTTAGTTGTTTCTTCAACTACGGGTGCTTTGGTTTTGTGGATTTGTTGATTTGTTTTGTGACCTTAATATAAAAAGTCTTAGTTTTAATGAAAATGAACTCCTGAAACATAACAGGCCCTATCATTCACCCGGCAGCCCAGTGTGTTTTTTTGCCAGTTTCAGCCCGACGCGATTTCATGCGTTTTCACGTCCCGTGCCAAGTTGTTTAAATGGCAAATACATTAGCTCCAATGTGTGCGCCCATGGGCATCAGCTGGTCTGAAAATGTCTTATTATGTTTTATTTTTCCAGCTAATGAGACTTTTTACTCTCTCCGTCAGAGGTCCATTCGGTCGTTCGGGAACGATGACCGTCATGTCATGGCCAAGCACTCCACCATCTACCCTTCCTCTGAGGTCCTGGAGGCGGTGCAGAGCCTCGTCTCCACGGTGGAGTGCGCCCTGAAACATGTGTCTGAGGGGATGGACCAAACTCAAGCCAGCCAATCAAATCAGTCAAATTCACCCAGCACACAGGAGGAAGAGACGGAGGCCAGCACCGACGAATCACCAGAAGGCAGCACAAAGTGAGTGTTCAAAGTGCATCCTGGGAAAACGGACAGAATTTGTTAGTTGTTGATTTATTGGCTAAAAATCTTTCTGAACTAGAGTCAGTAGTCATATTTTGTGTGTTGTGTCTCAGCGAGGGCAGCAGCTGTAGCAATGGTCCCAGTGAAGGAGCGGTGTTATGTGGAGTGATGAGGATCGGTCTGGTGGCCAAAGGCCTCCTGATTAAAGATGACATGGATCTGGAGCTGGTGCTCATGTGCAAAGAGAAACCCACCAAGACACTGCTGTGCACCGTCTGTGACAACCTCCCGCTGCAGATTGAGGTAACGACACCTGCTCACACCAGAAAAGCCACATGAGCTACCAAAATACACACTTGACCATACAAACCACCTTTACTGATGGAGTTTTGATCTGCTCAAAAAGTTACTGTTTGCGTTTCATCTGTTAAAAAACTCGGGGCTAGTTTTTGCCCCAAAGAACAAGGGAAGCATGTCTGCAATTAAACACTTTTTCCTCTGGATTTGCTAATAATGAAGCATACTGTGGTAATGCACTCATTAAAATATGCTTGTGAAGGTGATTTGTAACTATATGTTACTAAACGATTGTTGCAGTACTGTTTCAATTTCTCCTGAACATTTGCAACTGTAACGGCTTCTGTAATTTCTATTATTTGCCAAACATAAACAGAAATTGCTGCACAACTTCAAAAATATCAAACATGTTTTTATCACTAACTAAAACAAAAAACATAATTTTTATTAATTGACATAAAACTTAGATTTATTAACTTAGAAATGTTTCCTTGGCAACTAAATTAAATAAAATGTTACATTTAAAGTACTAACTAAAATAATATTAAAAAACGAATAAAACTGACAAGCACTTAACAAATTGCATTTTTTTTTCATTTAAAATAAATAATAAATAGCATAATAGTTAATAGTTAAATAATAATAGAATTGCACTAAATCCTGTCAAAATTTGTTTTCAGTAATTAATTTAGACTGTAGGCCAATAATGGGACAAGTCTCTGTGGGACAAGACGTCTCAGAGGGTTTAAAATCAAAATGTAAAATGTGCATTTTTGTGGTTAAGAATTCTCACAAAACAAATTGTTATTAGAGCTTTGAAGCTGTAATAATAGTACTGGTTTATGCAGGTGAACTTTCGGATTTACATTACCAATGTAATTCCTGTTGGAGGAATTTCCTTCATCTAAACGGTTCTGTAGATGTCATGTCCATTTCTGGTTTCTAGTATTATTTACTGATATTATATGGTCATAAAAAGAGTATTTTGATATAACCTTTACTGAGCGATTCTCAGTTTAGTTTGTGTGATGTTTGTGACTATATTTTGTCTGAGACTGCATGTTCGAGTGTATTTTACACTTTTAGTTTGGTTCTATTCGTTCTTTAGACCCCTATTTAGTTCTTGGGTCAGTTGGCATTCACACTGTCGTTTTTAAGACCGAACCAAAAAAGTGCAAATAAAGATAGCTCCTTTATGATAAGAAGAACCAGTCATTCTTCAGCATTCTGTCCTCTTAAGATCACATCTTGTGATATCTTGTCCTGTTTTTGGTTTGTTTAGGTGTCTTTGGTCCCTGTTGCGTTCATATTTTAGTTGAACCGCACCAGAGTTCTTTTGGAAGTGGATCTTTTCAGCATCTCGGTCCGCTTGTTTGGTACATCAGGGTTCAGATGGCGGAGTTCACATTTATTCAAATGAACCGCACTAACAGACCAAGCGCACCAGAGTTTGTTTTAATCCAACCTAACATGCCAAGTGTGAACACATTACACTGCCAGAGTTGTTGACTCAAAAGTGTTTTGAGGGAAATTTAACTGCAGATTTGTATACAGAAAAAAAGCTGCAACGTACGTACATAACAGACGTTCTCTATTTATATGCATCATGTGTAAATAATCTAAACCTGCCAGCAACCAGTTTCCCTAATTAGACACTTAGGACAGGCCGGGAGGGTGGGGTGATCCGTGGTGACCCAGTCTGAACCCCCCATCCAGACAGAAATCCCATTAAAGCAGACTGCACTGCCAGCAGGGCAACTCTCTGTATAATGGATCTGTTCGTAATGGAACGGCAGTTCACTACTTTGTCTTTCTTTACTTTCTTCCTCTTTCTCTCTGTATCAGTCAGCAATTGCATGATAGACATGCACATTTCCTGTCTCAGCTGCGTGCTCAAGTGTGTGTGGACAGCCCCCATCCCCCTCCCTCTCCCAAACACACCCATACACAGGTCACTGTGGTGGGACTGGGAGATGTAATTGATCTCTGGTTTACATGAAAAGACCAGACGGATTGGAAATGTTTGGCTGGAATTAATTGAATGGATTACAAACCTGTTCCCCACATCAAACCGGATTACGTTAAACATTATAGCAAGCATTTGTGCGGTCTGGTTTGTAAATGCTTTGTGACTGTGTGACCAGCTGTGGTCATGTGATAACAAAAAGCCTTACAAATTAGATTCTTGTCCAGTTTGTTTTAAAGTAGGTGTGTTTTGCACTTTTAACCTTATAAAGCCTTGGTCAAAACTTTGCTGAAAAAACTGTAGTATACAATGAACAACAAACCTTCTGTCGTCTGATAGTTCATACTTTTTTTAACAAGTAAACTCTAAAGACGTCACTCTTCAGGTGGTGGTACACACGTCTTTTTGATCTGAAATTTTTAATGATTTTTTATAAATTAAACAGGAATAACTTTTATATTGCTAGTTGTATTTCAAGATGAACATTTACTGGACTGAAGCAACCTTTACTTGATTATCCATAATCACATTTGTGAATATCAAAAATTATACATTAGGCCGTTCAGGATTTATTTGTACATATGTTTTGCCCCCCAAACTAAAACTAGAGCTTTGATCATAAAACTAGGCATTTAAATATCATCTTACTAAAACACATTATTGGGAGATATAGAGTTACAAGTGATATTTAGATTTAGTCATTTGTTATACTCTCACTGAATTTACATACAACTGCACTGATTTACATTGCAAGCAATCAAAATTTCATCCTACTTTTTGGCCATATAAATATCAGCAACTGCATTTGCATATTTATGGATTTTTTTCCCTCCGAGTATGAGCTCAATATTCTCCTATATCATAATATGTGAGCCATAAAAGCCTGATGTGTGAAATTATGGTATTTTTATTTATTTATTTAGATTTTTTTCTAAACATTTCACATCATTTTAATGTGGGCAGTTTTGCAGCTTGGTGTCAGTAAGTGGTATAGGTTCGGGAAGAAAAAAAAAAAGGTACTTTTTCTATATTGGGACTGTCATACCGGGAACAAATTTTTGCTACATGATTGTAGTGGCCAATATAATTCTCTAACAATATGACTGCGATAGAAGTTTTAAAAGTTACTATATTGTAGTTTTAACATGAAATCAAAGTTTTTTTGTTACTATCATGGTTATTGTCAAAACCGTTATATAGAGACACTCCTTGTCTATATAAAACATCAAATCATTTCCAAATAAAAGCAAGAAATGTTATTTTCCCATGAAATGATCGGTTTAAATAGCTCACAACTCTACACTAAAATAAAGCCATATATATGATCGTTCATTCTGGGTTATTTTTGCATGTTTTTGACACTTTGGCTAATTAAAAACTCTGACCCCTACAGAAATTGACAGAAGAGAAGTATGAGATACAGCAATGTATTCCCGAGGCCGCCATCTTGGTCTGCACCACGACAGAACCCAAACTCACACTGAAGGTGATGCTCACCTCCCCGCAGATGAAAGACGACTGTGAGACGGAGGAGCAAGGTTTGAGCCTACATGTGACCTACTTCCTTTCTTTTTTTCTTTTCTAAACAGGAGGTAAAGGGGAGGGATGGATGAATGTTTGTGTGTGCATTTTTAGCGATAGTCCATTAGAAGAACGAGCTTTAGTCTCTTCCTTACTCTGCACCCAGAACTCTCTCAGGGCCGTGCACATAAAGCACACACATCAGTGGACTCATCGTATAGTCTAAACACGCACACACAGAGCTGAATCAGCATCAGGTCGAGTGGTCTGTGGGCTGTTAGACTCTTGACCCGCGGGGCCGCTCACGGGAGGTGCTGAACAACAGCGGGAGTAGACACAGACCTACTGTAAAGACAGATCTCCTTTAAACACGACATGAAACACTTTTGTAATGGGACATGAAGCCAAATATTCAGTCAAGAACAATGCAGGGTGGGACTGTGTATTTATTATTTAATCCGTATTACATACTCAACCTGGATAGTAAGAGCATAAGAGCAACCCAGAACACTTTCGGTACATTTCTGGTAGGGGTGTATTGTTTTCCTGCCTTTCATCTGATAGTACTCTGATCAATTAAAATTCTAAACTTATTTACTGGCCTTCATGTCATTTCAAACATGTATGACTTTCTTTCTTTAGCAAACACAAAAGAATAACTGTTGAAGTCCATATTATGAAAGTCAATGGGGTCCAAAATAACACTGGACCCCACTGACTTACATTATATGGACCAAATAATTAATTTTGTGTCCATTGATGAAAGTAAGTGATGCAAGTTTTGAGCAGCATGAAGGTGAGTAAATGACAGGATTTTTTTTTTTTTTTTTTTTTTGGTGAACCATCCATTTTACTCACTTTCGTCCTGTCGTTAATTCACACTTTTTACTGTATCTTTCTTTAAGTCTTGACATTGATATGAATGCGTTATGTCAAGTCTGATTTGGGCTTAGGGTTGGTAATTCCTGATGTAGAGGCAGTTGAGCTCAGAACACATGAGTTAAGTTAAGATGAAAGTCTGTTATTGGAGTTTGTGGTGCCATGACCCGTGACTGACCGCTTTGACAGCCGAAGCGGTTGTATCTTTAGTGGATGGCATTTAGGCTATAACAATTAGAGCTGCAGTGGTGCAAAACGGGCTGTTTCTTTCTCTCGCTCTCTCCCTCATCCGCAGGGTCCTTGCCTCTTTCACACACACACACACACACACACATTCTGTCGCTCTATGCAAATATGCTAATACTTTGCCAACGAAAAGGTTGCAGCCCTGTTGTAGTACATGCTTGAGTGCTCTTCGGTTACAGTGGCAGTAGCAAACCTCAATACTTAAGAGGGTGATCGAGTTATCTAGATGTGTTATTGTTATGGACTTCATGGATTTCCATTAGTACCACCACAGATATCTGCTGAATTTAACTGTGATAATTTAATTACTAAGTAATGAAGGATACTTGGTAACTGTCTTGAACACTGTGTTGAAATTCTACAAATTTCGACCTAAAATAAGCTTAGAAATTGTGAGCAAATGACCAGTCATATTTGCCAGTGTTTGCATGAATTAATCCAGTCATTTCAATCCATGTAATCTAGAGTTTTGCATGAGGGTGGAAGATTTTTTTTCCCATGCAGATCTGTGTGAGCTGTGATCTCTACACTATTGACAAGACAATGGACATCTTGTGACTGCAACTTTAGTTAGTCAGTTAGCTGTTTATAGATATGTTTAATTAACCAACTTTAATTAATGTACTCCGCAAGAACAAAAAACTGACTGTACTAGCTGATCTTATAGCACCCCTAGTGGCAGCACAGAAAATGTAGCTTATACTTGTGTTTATTGAAACTAGCTAATATTTGACCATTTTGAGATGATCAACACTGCCAAATAACAGATACAAATTGGCACTGTTAATGAATTATGCTTAATTCTCCAATGAAAACATTGCTTAAAAAAATGTTTTACATTTTCAGCCTTAAGGCCCGTACACACCAGGACGAATATCAGCTGCGTTATTCGTCAGCATTTTTCAACGTGTTTTTTGTGTTCACACCCAAGCGATTTTCACTGACGATGAGCCAAGTGAACATGCAAATTCATTCCCTGACATTAGATGGCGCCAATTTGCTCTGCAATACCTCTCCATATCAGTTTTCTTTTATCAAGATGTTTGTAGTCCCTGTCGCGTTTGTCATATGGTTCTTTATGTTTTAGCACCAACGAGAACAGTGTGATGTTTCTCACTGTAGAACGGCGACACTACTTGGCCGTTGCATATGTGTGCTCGATACCAAACCAAACCAAATTGTGTTTTACTGTAACTTCAGAAGCTCCAAACACGTGAGCAAAAGCACCAATCTCATTGGTCGGATAGTTTTTGACGCAGCACGTCAAAATAAGAAAAATAACCCGAGGCGTTTTTTTAAAAAATGACGCTTTTACGCGTGGCGTTTTTTTATGCGTCGGTGTGCACACTCACATTGCCGCCCTTTGTTTAGTCACGAGGCGTTAAACGTCGGCGAATAACGCGTGCGAAATTTCTTCCCGGTGTGAACAGGCCTTTATATCGATTACCCTGCTCTCTATTTATTGTTATCAGCATTGGGACAAAAATAGTATTTTGGTCAACTGCTAATTGTTTTTTTATGAATTTCGAAAGAAAGCAGTGCCACAAAATAGCATTTGTGCTGCATCAAGGCCGGCGTGCCTTAATCTCGCTCTCTCTGACATATACACTCTCGTTGGTTTGCTCACTCGCCATCCTCTTTGATGTGGATTGTTAGAAGCAGGGGGAGGAAAATGAAAGAATGTATCCGGATTGAATCAATACCTGTGCCAGCACACACCTCATCCATCTAACAAGATGTGTCAGATGTGGACACTGCCCCTGGAGTGTGGGATGACAGATGTCGGGAGGGAGGGTAGAGATGGAGCGATGGGTTGTAGATCACTACAAGAGCACCTCGTATTTTCATGACCAGGTCAAGGGCCCTGTCCCGTTGAGAAACTGCTCAATCTCAGGACCGGCCCGAATGGGCAGTTCTTATCACCTCGCAGACAGACTTGCATACACGACACTCACACTCACACACTGAGTGATACTATATAAGATAAGAAACTATTCTTCAAAGGACCATTAAGATATTTTACATTGTGATGTTATTTCATGACATTTACGGACTGTACTGAAGCATAAAAATACCATAATATGTTTGCAGAGATGAAGGAAACATGCTAAGTTCACATTAATTGCTTCTCTGAAAAGCAATGCTACAGCCAGTTATTCTACTTCGAAATGTGCGTTTTGTGTTGGAATATCAATTTTATACTGCCCACTGCCAATTTACACAATAGTATTTAGACTCCCCGGGTTGCCAGTTGGCAGAAAACAATCCGATTGAAGCCAGCAAACGAACTGGGTCACAGATTGCGATTTCTACCCGACCTAAAAAGCCTTGGTAATAAAAACATTGCAAACGTATACATTAGCTGATTAATTTACACTGTAAGGCTCGTAGCTTCTTTTAGCCTTAATCTGGCAACCCGAGGCTGAGGAGGAGGGGGTGGGGAAAAATCGATCCAATATTTTGAATTTGGATTGCAGTAAAACCATTAAACCTTTTTTCTTTACTGTAATACATTAATAAGAATCACTCTTTAGCATAATAATGTGAAATACAATGCGTCCAAGCGTCTATATTGTAAGTCTGGGATTCATTACTTTTTCAATTCAGCTTTTTGTTTTGCTGATAATGTTACTTCTATAAAAAAATATTTATTAAACCTCAAAAACATAAAATAGAGGCAGTTTACTAGATATCTCAGACTATTGGACCATACTGTATGTTTTTCCACCTGTGTTTGTGTATGAATAGATTAGTGATGCACTGAAGCATTTGTCTCATTTTGAATGTGTGGAAGTTTGTGGGGTGATCAATGATGGATTGATGTTGATTTTTGTGGTTTGCGTGTGTCATTGATTAGAGGTTGGGCTAAACCATTCCATCACTCTGACAAATCTTCCTCTTTAAACCATCCTCAGCTGGGCTGCTGTGATTAAAATCCAGAGAGGAATTATGAAAGAGTAATGGTCCAGTTATCATCATATAATCTCTAAATAACCCCCGTACATCTGCACGCCTTTTCCTGGATTTACACTGCGGCAGCATTGGCTTTTTTCTTGATCTATTTGTTTATCTGCAGAGGAACACAATGTGATGGTCTCACTGGTATGAAGATGCTCATTTACAGAGCCAATAAAAGAAAAGATTAGCAAACGTTTTTTGAAGAATGAACCTTATGTATTGTTTGGGTGGGAGAGATGAAGAAAAATGGTCTGACAACTCAAAATGTTTGTGTGTTGTGTGTGAGCGATCTCTTCTCTTGTTGTGACTGGTCTATAACAATACCCACTGCATGTCTTCATTACTTCAGTGTCAATCCAAGCACAAACTGGCACGGATTCGCTGAGGGTGTTAGCGTGTGCTGATGCTTTCGACATTAACTCCTAACCAGGCACGACGCAGGAAATTAGAAAAATATTTTGAGATGCAGCCAATAAGAAAGTATTTGATGTTTTATTCAGTGTGCAGATTTCTTCAGATATAGACTTTTAGAAACTAAAACATGCTTTTCACGCTCTCATTGGTTTAGTTAGTCTTTTACATGGCTGTTTTATAGGTTTGAGGTCAGTAAGTGTTGCTTTTTTTAAATAAAGAAATTTGATACTTTTATTTAGCAGAGGTACATTGATCAAAAGTGAATGTAAAGACATTTATAATCTCACAAAAGATTTCTATTTCAAATAAATGCAGTTCTTTTGAGCTTTCTATTGGTCAGATCCTGAAAAAAAAAAGAAGACTGCTGAAATTTCAGCTTTGTGTCACAGGAATAAATTACATTCAAAAAATTTTAAATATATTCGAAAATATATTCAAATAGAGAATTCAAATCTTAAATAATCAAAATGAATGCAAAAAATTCAAATGAATGCAAACTTGGTGAGCATGAGAGACTTCTTTCAAAAAATCTTACCAACCCCAGACTTTTGAATGGTAATGTATGTCAGAGGAGAATGTTGTCTATACTAATTTATGACCCAGCTAATGTACTTTACACCACATCTTAAATTTAATAATTTTACGATACAGAATACTTGAAAAAGTCTTGTACTCTAGCATTTTATATTTAATTTAATGTATACGATAATATCTTCACACTTTTTGAGTAATTTTTACTGGGAATTACACACTAAAATATGAATCAAATTAATTTCCCAAGAGTTTTATTGTGACAATATTGTGTACATGAAGAGTTCAGATGCAAAAGCCTCTAAGTGCCATTTGAAATTTTCTTCGAGAATGATCTCATTTTTATCAAGCTTGTATATTTAAGTTCAGTGATTTCACTTAAATGGCAATTAATAGGTAATCTTCACTGCCATTTAAGTGAAATTACTGAACTTAAATATACAAGCTTGATAAAAGTGATCATTTTAGAAGAAAATTTCAAACGGCACTTAGAGGCTTTTGCATCTGAACTCTTCACATATAACAAAAAGTTTAAATCTGTTGGTTTTCAAAAATAAAATAAAAAAATCAACACTCAAAAGTGCCAAAAGTTGAAGAAACGCCAATGCATCTGTGGTTATGGGATTTTGGACCAATCTGAATGCTCTATAGATGGAGCTATTTATCATACAACAAACATAAAATATAGATAATAAAGTGACTCAATTTACTGTTGCTTGTGACTTTTGCAGCTCATTAGCACAAAACATTCACACATTAAATCAATTAAAATTGTATTACTGCGTGTCTGGTTAGGATGGTGTGTAACGCCAATTGAACAGCCTCATTTGGCATGTTTTAGACTGGGTTTAGCATTTCATAACACTTGGCACATGCTAACACCTTTTGCGAATCCTTCCTCCAGTTTCCAGCCAGCCAAGGAGATGATGCACTGAGGTTTCATCTCTTTTGGATGAACTGGACCAGCTGAGCCGATTGGCTTCCTCCTTTCTCCCTCCTGCTGTGCCCTAACAGCCCCTCCCTCTTCACATGTGTGTGTGTGTGTGTGTGTGTGTGTGTGTGTGTGTGAGCGTGCGTGTCTACGCGTGTGTGATTTGATTTCCTGTCCCGTTCTTCTCACCGATAGAGAGCGTTGAGTCGAGCGAGCCGGCGGACCTGTTGGATAGACAGAGGTGCCTGGTGGCGTTGGCCTCTCTGCGACATGCCAAATGGTTCCAGGTTGGCGCTCACTTCTTCTCATTGTTATTGTAGCCTTATGACCCAAAACTACATGCCATTTTCCTCAATTTTCTCCTGCTCTCCAAACGCTCAACACCTCATCACGAACATTTACGTATCGTAAGGCTACAAAAGCAATTGTTACACTTTTTTTTTTAGTTTTCTTTTGCCTGTTTTTGTTTGTCCATAACCTGCTTGTCATCATAAAGGATTTGTCTAGTGCTTTCCTGCACTGTATCTTCCCTTCTCCCACCCCACTGACATAAGCCCCGCCCCCTCCTCCATCACCCCCACAACACGGACCAGAGCTGAACACACCTGCACACTCACACACACACACATATATTCAAGATCTAGAGATTTAGGGGTTAAAGGTTGAGTTTGATTGTTGCTCTCAGCTCATTGGCCGATTCCCTCTGGTTTCCTCAGGCTAGAGTTAACGGCCTAAAGTCGTGCGTGATCGTCTTACGAATACTGAGAGACATGTGCAATAGAGTCCCGGCGTGGGAACCTCTGAAAGGATGGGTGAGTAGTCAGATTGACTATCACTGCAAACACTACAGTGATGATTTGGTAAAACTTTAGGTGTGTATGTATAGATTTTGGGAAGTAAGGATTAATTGACTTTGAATTGTTGAAAATTGGGGCTCAAGTGGGTAATAGAGACAGTGTGCAGCAATACGGATTAGTGATAAATATTCCTGTATACATTTATTTTTAATACCCAAACTCTAATCTGTGTACACTGTAAAAAAAGAATTATCAATAAGTTGTGACCACTTCTACAACGCTTTAACTCAACCAAGTTAAACAATTTTCAACTTTTTTTTTTATGTTTACAAGATTCAACCATTTTTTAAGTCAGTTTAATGTGTTTTAAATTTGAAGAAATTCTTTAAATATCCAACATCTGTTGATTGTAATTAAATATTTAAGACCGCAATTTAAAATGAATTCTTGCATCAGAAATTAAATGGATAATATTACCTCAAGTTGTCATTACAGTTCAACATCATTTTTTAAATTGTTAATGTGCTAAAAGACTTTGAAAATCCTTCATTTGTCATACAAGTTCTTATTGCATATAAAAAGTACACTGTATTTTGTCATCCAAAATAAATATTAAAAAAAAATGTAAAAATGTAACTCGAAGAGCTTCTTTATTTTAAAAGTAACTTATGGATATGAAGTGTAATCATTGCATATCTAGTGGCTAAAAATGTATACAGTATGTACATACTATTAAAAAAATACAGTAATAACTGTAAAATTATGTAATTATATTATTACAATTTCAAATAACCGTTTCTTATTTGAATACATTTTAAACTGTAATTTATCTGTTATGGTAAAGCTTTTTTGTGTATTTTAGCATGTCTAAACACTTCATTAGCCAATCAACATTCAAGACTGGATCTGTCCACTTTAATTAATTATTAATAACTTGGTCATTGAGTGATTTAAACTGACTTTTTTTTTTTTTTTTTTTTTACAATAACCACAGATTTAATCTCTCATCCCAGTGGGCCATGGGCACATTTTAATGGCTTGATAGCTCTTTGTGTAATAAAGCAGTCTTTGAAAAGTGATTTTGCTGTTTTGTCCTCAGCCTTTGGAGTTAATATGTGAAAAGGCCATCGCTACGTGTAACAGACCTTTGGGAGCTGGAGAGGCTCTGCGCCGGGTCATGGAGTGTCTCGCCTCTGGCATACTGCTTCCAGGTATGAACACTTCCACAGAGAAGCCATACAAATTAGTCAAATAAATAAATTGGAAAATCCATTATAAGTAATAATAATAAAAAGGTCCCAGGTACTTCATTTTTAATACATTTTTATGAGTAACAGATAGGGGGACTTTTATTTTATTTATTTTATTTTTTTGTGACTTATGTTTCTTTTGACTTTTATGTTCAGCGTTACTTTGTGTATAAATTACATTTAAAAATATATTACAATAGAAACCAGTTATTTTGAACTGTATTAAATATTTCATAATATTAATGTTATATTTATTACAGTTCAAAATAACTGGTTTCTATTGTAGTATATTTCTAAAATGTAATTTTTACACAAAGTAATGCTGAATTTGCGTCATTACACCAGTCTTAAGTGTCACATGATCCTTCAGAAATTTTTCTAATATGATTGTTTGATGTAAATTTCAGTTTTTTCAGCATTCAAACGAACACCATTTTTTGAGAGAGATATTTACTATCACTTTTGATTAATTAAATGCACATTTTCTAAATAAAAGTGTGTGTGTGTGTGTGTATATATATATATATGTGTGTGTGTGTGTGTGAATATAAATATATTTTTAAATTTATTTATTTATTTATTTTAATGAAAATATTGTAAAGAGTAAAAAAAAAAAAGTTTATAAAATGACCTTTTGTTTTGTGTATTATTGGATCCCTCATCATACTAGCCAATAAATAAGCCTGAATATGCGAGATAAGTGTGAGTGTGTCCTGTACGGTGTGATGACAGCAGCGGTGTCACTATCAGATCTGGGTTTCATTTGCAAAGCTCTAGTTCCTGTCTGTGGCCCAGAGGAATAATAGAGCCTCATTTATCTACTCTTGACACAACTAGTCCATCCCTCTCTACTCGTATTCTCTTTTCTCACTTATTAATTAATTATGAGATGCAGGCATTAACATTTGATTGGCTTGCATAGGAAATAAACCCATCCCACAGTGATATATTATCTTATTTGAACATAAATTATATATATTTGTATTATACCTTAAGGGCAACATTTAAACTATAAGGGTTGACTTAAAGGTTTAATTAACTCCTAACCTGCAGTGACGGGGAGTCACTAAATAATGAAACGCTACAGTTTCCAGGAGCTTCCACAACGCTTAACTGTGTCAGTTATATAAATCATATATTTTGTTATTATATTTCCCGTGTGAATAATGATCTTCTTCTGTTTCTTCTCAGGTGGGCCAGGCCTGCATGATCCCTGTGAGAAGGAGCCCACAAACACACTGTCGGCCATGACGGATGAGGAAGCAGAGGCCGTCACGTTTAATGCACAGGTACTGCCAGTGTGTGTGAGATGCAGGTGTCAATGGATAAGAGAGAGCCGCTTATCTCATCTGTGCTGTCTAGATTACTGCCATGTCTCTCTCTCTCTCTCTCTCTCTCATACACACACACACTGGTCTTATCAGTGATTCCGGCTTATATGAACACGATATTACAGTTGGCAGTGAGCCATGTCTCCTTAAATCAGTTTAAAGTGATTCACAGTATCCACCAGCTCTAACCCCATTTTTGCTCCTGAAGTTGATCTCAGAGGTAGTGTCAAACCCTGTCATAACACTGTCACAATCATCATAGTCTTACAAAACGCTCTTCACAATTAAAATCATTTGATTTTATATCATCTGCAAAATATTCTCAAATAGTTCTCTAACACGCACACACCGATTGAGCACCTTAATGATTGGCTCTCTAATGAGCGTGGGAAAATGATACGAAGTCTGCCTGTGAAACTTACTCCTGCCCCGGGGACTGTGTGTGTGTGTGTGTGTGTGTGAGCTGCATCTCTGAGTAGATTTCTGTATCGCTTTTCCTTTGAACGCTCATGCAGTCGAGATCAGAATCACAATGTGTCTAATGGTTTTGCAGCAGATCGAAGAGGTTCCGCACACACACACAGACATTGCTTAACATTTTTATCATATTGTGTTATTTCCTTGTTTTAAAGAAAAAACGCAATAATTTTTAAGCTTATTATGTTTTGGGGGAAAAAATATTAATTATATTTGTTTTATTCATCACCTACTTTTGTGACTGTGAATATTGCGGGTGTAAATGAGGATGTTTTTACTGCAGTTAGCCGTAGTCATAAATGAGATGCATTGCGGTAATATGCCATAGTAACGCCTACCTGCAGAAATACTGCATTCAAGAGAGAGTTTCTGTTGTCACATGAGACTAAAAGATGGTGCTCATAGCTATAATTTACTCTGTGATGAGGAGTTCATGAGTTAAAGATAAGCTGCGTGTTTAATCACTGAATTTAAAGGAAGGACAATATAACATTTTCCTTCATTAAAATGCCATTATTGCTCATTAACCTTAAATGTCACTTAAAACTTTACATTAGGAACAACATGTACTTTGTGAAACTTTCTTAATATTTACTAACTACTCTACGGACTAATCATCTTTAATCTCAATGCTAAGCTTGGTAAAATGGGAAAATAACGACGTATCCAATTTAACTTTCATCTGAAATCCTATAACAATTGATTTACACTTGCATTCAAAGGTTTGGGGTCAGTTTTTGTTATTATTATTATTTTTTTTAAAGAAATTAAGAAAGGACACATTGAATTGCTTTCAAATAAATGCTTTTCTTCTGAACTTTCTATTCATCAAACAATCTGAAAAAAAAAAAACTATCATGTTTTCCACAAAAATATGAAGCAGCACAGCTGTTTTCAACATTGATAATAATCAGAAATGTTTCATGAGCATCAAATCAGCATATTAGTGTTTTCTGAAGGATCATGTGACACTGAAGACTGGAATAATGATGCTGAAACCTTACTGAATCCAAACGATTTAATGCTAGTGTATATAACAATTATTAATAATTAACTGTGAGGAAATTCATATGTAATTACAGTTTAAATTTATCTGCAAAACTAATTTGAAGCATTTAAGTGTGAACCTTTAAATAAGTGATGGCACATCAGCCACTAGCAGTGTGGATGGCTTTGTTGATTTATAAAGGAAGTGATCTAGTTTTATGTGGCGTATCTGTCTGTGTTAAACGAACACATTCAGCCTTTAGTGAAGCTGATTCCTGTAATCTATAACCAACTTAGGTGTGGGGTCTTCCTTTTATTTTTAATTTGTAGCTGCTTTTCGAATGGTAACTTGGTCAATATGTTGACGATCAAATATTCAATATGTCTAGTACTATCCAAAATTGGCTTTTCTCTGTGAGGCAAAAGACTCTGGCTATGGATTTGCACCCCCCTCCCCTTCTCTGTCCCCTCCTACTCGCCTCAGCACAGTTTCCGAAAGATTGTAATTACATCGGCAGATTCTGAGCGTCCAGGGAAGAGCAGCAGTGCTTTCGACTTCAGTGATATTTTATGGTGTTGCTGTGGTGAATTTACAAGCGCAGATATGTACATTCTGAGACATGAAATGAAATGAATAGCTTGGATTTTTGTCATTTTAAATCACCCTTCTCCCATTTTCACCTCAAAATATTGGGTTGGCTGTATATGTCTTGCGTCTTTGGGACAACACTAAAAAGTTTATAAGCTTTTCCGTGATGATATTCTTACAGATGCTCTGATTACTGTAATTAAAGGTGTCCCTCAAAATGGGCTCTCAAATCTTTCTAGAGATAGTTTTGGAACCAAACATAATGGTGCCTCCTAATGGGCTATAACTAAAGTAAACAGCTTTGTCGATATCTGTTGAGATGAGTTAATTTGCGAGTTAGTTGTAGCATGAATTATTTGTGAGGCAGTCTGCCCCATAATTCCTCTGAACACAGTGATTCAGTGCCCGATGTTCCACATCTACAGGCGCTCTCTGGGCTCAAGCAGAGTTATTGCTTTATTATTAAAAGAATAAGCAACAAGTGTGTGTGTGTGTGTGTTCATGGTCTTTTGAGACAATTTTTCAGGAGCAGATAATTTAGGGTTTGCTCTTTGATAACCTTAATAGTAGGGGTGCGTCCCGAAGACTAAATCTGAATTCGGAAAGGCACGGAAAATGGACAGCGCATTCTACGGAGCCTCTAAAGGGACATGGTTAGGCTTGCTGCTGTAGTTAAATTACAGTCCATCAGATTTCACGGATCACGTGAAGAGAGTAAGGAGAATGACTGACCGGACGATGGCGGAAGATTTGATGTGCAACAGATCCTGAGTGTTATTGACAAATATCTTCTCTTATATAATGTGCGGTCAGTGCCACTACTCCCTATACACAGAGTACACGTGATCGCGAAAGTTAAAAGCAAGTGCTCGTTCAAAAGCGATTTCAATACCCTGCATATTGATAGCTATTATGCCCGCAAATTATTTACAATATAATTACACAACTATATAATTGCGAGAGAGAACAATTATAAAAGGACTAATATAAATCTGATATATATATATATATATATATGTGTGTGTGTGTGTGTGTGTGTGTGTATGTGTGTATATACATATACGTATATATATACATATAATATACAGTATATACACATGTATATATGTACGTATGTGTGTGTATATATATATATATATATATATATATATATATATATATATATATATTTATACAAATACGTATATTTATACAAATACGTATATATTTCCCATCACCATGTCCCTTTAAGGGCTCCATTGAATGTGTCATTTTCTTTCTGAACATGTTGTTCCGCTTCAGCACATCCATACTTGATACCTTTTTATCATATCTAATCTTTGTATGTGTGTGTTTCAGCATGCTCTGCGGCTTATGGCCTTTGGGCAGATCTATAAGGTCTTAGAAATGGACCCCCTCCCCTCAAGTAAACCTTCACAGAAATTCCCTTGGTCAGATAAAGAAGGTGAGCATACATACCTAATTTATTACTTAAACCTAAAGTGTGTCCTTTTTTTTTATATATTTAAATAGTCATAAACTCAGTCTAGTATAATTTATTGATATAACTAAAAGCATGTCATCCAATGGTGTTGGAGTTTGAGGTGGGGCTGTCTGATTGTCCAATCAAATAGAGGAAGTTTGAGAAACCTATTTGAAAACAGTCATAATTTTTGCAAATCCATTCATTGCCACTGGAATTACATACTTTACCTTTTATTTGATTTAATAATGTAAATAATTTTGGAATTTTACTCTGACATACAGCTCTAGGTCTGTTTTCGATGTGTTTTAGAAATTCATCGTTGGTGTGTTTTCATCGGCACTTTAACTTTATTCTTGTGTTGTTTCAGGTCTTGGCCTGAAGAGACCTTATGAAGATGGTCTGCTGGACGACAAAGACATCATCAAGAAGATGAAGCGCAACCTGAGAAAAGGTCTGTCTGAGTAATGATAGGCAAATATATTGTCCAGACTGGTTAATTTACTGAGATTTGTTGAGATTTTGGGCATGTTTTCGCTTGGTTGAATTTTTTTTTTTTGTGTGTGTGTGTGTATTTTTATTATGTTGTGCAAAGTAAGTCTTAATTTATGAAAAACTTTTTTTTTTTTTGTAATCAATAAATTGCATGGATTTTTATGTCATTGCCATTGCCATTCATCAACAGATATTGGATACTGATAGATATCAGTATCTGCACTGGGCATTATAAAATGCATATCAGTTGACCTGTAGTATGTTCATATTGGTCAGGTTTTCTGCAAAAAACAATTATGTAGTTTTTATTTATATATTTATTATTTATATATCAATTATTATAATTTCTAATATTTATGAGTAAGTTATTTTCTTTATATTTATATATATATATATATATATATATATATATATATATATATATATATGTGTGTGTGTGTGTGTGTATATATATATATATATATATATATATATGTGTGTGTGTGTGTGTGTGTGTATATATATATATATATATATATATATATATTAATGTAATATTTTTTGTGTAATTTTTAAATGGCATCTGTCATTTTAATGCATGAATTTAGTACATGATACAATGTGGAAAAATTTCTGTTTTAAACCAGCAAGGAAACACTCAGTATACAGTAACCTGCATTCTCCAGCCATTTATTCTTTGTTGTTCCCCTGTTTGGCCATAAAAGCTTTTGTCCTCTTTCTAGAAACATTACCGTATAACACGTCTCATTTTTCCTCACCTCAGAATTATGATTTTTCTTTGCTGTATTGTACCTCTAATCTCTCACCTGCTTTATCTAGTGTAAGCTGTAGAGCTCTCACTGGACTCTTTTATTTGCGGCGTCCCTTCCCTCTCGCTCCACATCCTCCTGCTCTTCCATCTCTTGCTCTCTCTCACAGGAAGCAGACAACCGTTGGGAAATCAATGGCATTGATTCTTAATTTCTCCTGGAGCCGTGCTGCTGTCCCCTGCCTGTGCTCCTCGCTGGACTCAAATAAATTGCTTTCAAAGCAGCAGAATTTCACAATTAGCCAGCTGATGAAACGAAGGGATGCTACAAAGTTAGAAGACGATCTGTGTATCTATGGAGCGTTTCCTTTTCGCTATAATTGCTAATGCTTATTTCTGTTGTTTTTCCCTTCCAGCAGTTCTTGACAGTAAAGCAATAGACTCGAATCAACCCATGAACGCTCTGATGCGCTTGAACCAGATCCGGCCGGGGCTGCAGTATAAACTGCTGTCTCAGTCAGGTCCGGTTCACGCCCCCGTGTTCACCATGTCTGTAGACGTCGACGGCACCGTCTACGAAGCCTCTGGCTCCTCAAAGAAGACCGCCAAGCTGCACGTGGCTGTAAAGGTACATCTGGACTTTAGTTGGAGTCGTGTGATTGGAGTGCTGAGCGTTACGTAAGGAAATAAAGGATTAATTCACTCAAATTAGTATTTTGTCATCATTCACTCACCCTTGTGTTATTTGAAAACCCATATACGGACAAATTACATAATGTCCGAGCTGCTCTCTTCCATGCTATGAAAGTGAACGTTGACTGAAGCATCAAAAAGGACAAAAAAAGAATCATAAATGTAGTCTGTGTGACCCATGTGGTATTTTATTTATATTATTTCTAGCCTTCTCATACTGTAGCTTTGCACACTTGTATGGAAAAGAGCAGCTTGGACGTTCTGCCTAATTTCTTAATTTCTGATCTACGGAATTCATATGAGTTTCAAAAAACTGGGTGAGGGTGAGTAAATAATGACAGAGCTTTTGTTGGGATGAACTATTCCTTTTTTAATAACATCCACTAAGCCACAGTGCTGATGCGGATGACGCAAGTTCAAGCCGTTGCTTACTTTCCTGATCCGGACGGTTGACCCATTTTTCCCTCGTCATGATCTGTGCTCTCATTGAATAAATGTGGCAAAAAGGTTTAGTAATAATTTGTGCTAGACAAACAATTTTTTTTTATCGATCTGTTGATTTAGTTTTTGATTTAACTAAAAGATTAATCAGATAAAAATGCAAACCTTTTTTTTTTTTTTGTGCATGCACAAACGTTGCAATAAATGCTGTTTACAACCTAGTTTACATCCATATTACGTAATTTCAGAGTTTCCAGGTGTTAAATTCTGGGTTAAATTTTGCCATTTTGAAATTATGAATCAACATGACTATACAATCATCATCGTAATAACAATTATTATTATTATTGCTCAGTAAAAATATTAAACAATACGTATTTAAGTTAAATAACATCAAATAATAATTATATTTTTATTTTACATTTTTCAATTGTTAAACTATTGAGCTTTTATGTCTATGAGTGACCCAAACTCATCACACGCAGACCTGAAGTTTGTGTGGAGCAACATTTACCGTTTCAGAGATGCTGAAAACACATGGATCATGAGCTGCTTGTGTGATAAATGAACACATTACAACACTTCATTCTGAAACACAAAACGCATATTTAATTAATCGAATCGCAGCGTTTGCAATTTTATAATCGCTCTATGACATATTTCGATTAATTGTTCCATTATAATATTCATATACTACATTTTTTTCCTGTGTGATCAGGCCAACATATACAGGCCTAGTTGTTGTGCTAGTGTTAAGCTCTTATTAGATTGTATGCTCGAGCGCATGACCGAAGGTTACAGCTAAAGTATGTCTGCTTCTCTTCAGGAAGACCAGTAAAGCTTGTTCCCACATACTCACACCAGTGATTCCCAGGATGCAAAAAGGGCTCAAATCTTTGTAATCCCAGAGTGCTTGTGAACAAAGGCTCTGGAGTGTAAGACCACACTAATCCTCTTTCTGTGAGCGCAGCCTTTAACAGTACCAGCGGCATCAATTTGGGTCAGACTGGCAAATGAACCCTGGCGCTCTTATGATATCCTTTACCCTGTGTAAACGCACACTTGAAGCAAGCATTTACCCTAACTGTGAGATATGAGCCGTCAATAGCAGTGCAAGTGGCAATGTTACAAAATGTTACTTTTTCAAAAATGCTTTCTCTGTTCATCAATCTTTTTAAATATTGACTGATGAAAATTCAACTCTGCTATCACAGAAAAAAACATATTTTGAAATATATTGAAACAGTAAAGTTATTATTTCATAGTATTACTGTTTTTACTGTATGTCTCATCAAAAAATAAATCCTGCCTTGGTGAACATAAGATAATATAAGAGCATACTAGAGGTAGAAAAATAAAAAAAAGATGAATTAGCCGACCCCAAAACTTTGAGCGGTAGTGTATATATAATTAGAGATTTAATTTATCAGTATTAATCAGTTGTTTCAATATATATTATTGGGTGACGACTGATATTGTATTAATATATTGTGCAGTATATGTATAGTATATTTCTTTAACTATTCAGGGTTTAGTTACACATCCAGCTTTATTTGCACAGATCTGCAGCTCAGTTTTGTGCCTTTTTTATGAATACAAGCAGTCTTTCTCAATAATGACTTCAGTATCCAAGAAACGTCTTCTTTTGATTCCGCCTGCTCATGCTGATGATGGCCACAAAGATGAATTGATCTTTCCCAGCATGTCTCATCATTTTGTTATACTTTCATAACAAAACCTCCAAAGCGAGAAACTTTAAAGCATTACTTTTTTGGATCATTGTGTGATTTTCGAAACTTTAAGTAAAATGAGGACTGATGTGGCATAGCAGAATGTAATTTGTTCATGCATGTGTTGCTGCAAAACTATTGGCGTCTCTACAATGTTCTTTCTTCACCATAAAAGTAGTCCTTGACAGTCTTGCGCTATTGTCTTCTGGGGCCAGTTACACCAATTGAATTGACTGAATTACATCAATAAGCCTTTGTTTTATCTGACAGACTTTAAACCTTTAAACACACATATACTGAAACAGTATTTTCTTGAAAAACACTCAACAATCTGTTTTAATAACAACAAAATAATTTTTTACAGTGTATAAATGACAAATGGTGCAACCTAATAAAATGCAGAGTTAGTTACTAACTAGTACTTACAGTGCTAAGCCTCTAGCGTGTTCCAGTTTAAGTTAAGGAAGGCTGATGCAACCCTACCTATAGGCGAGTAATAAATGACAACTTACTAAAATATAACTTCTGTTGGACCTCCATGCTGGATCTGTTGTGTGATGATGTGTTTTGTGGCCGTGTGGTGTAGGTGCTACAGGCGATGGGTTACCCCACAGGCTTCGACACAGACCTGGACTCCATGAGTGCAGATGAGAAGTCAGACGGGGAGGGCAAGAGCGAATCGTCCACTCACTCAAGCAATAACACATCACACTCAGACAACTCCAACACGTTGGAGGTACAAGCACACAAACTGCAAACTCAAGTGTTTATGAAATGTTTTTACTGTTCTAGTCAAGTCACATTTATTTAGAGAGTGCTTTATATACAATTTAATTGTTGCAGCTTCACAGTACTAAACAAGAAAATAATAGTATTAATGTTACTAAGTTGTTTGATTCTGAAACAAGATTTCCGCTCTAAAGCAGCTCTACAGAAGACAATTGTACGGTATCATTATTCAGCTCAAATCTGTGTTGATTCAGTTCAATAACATGTTCTGCATTTAGGTGCGAACTCAGGGTCCTATTTTGACGGCCAGCGGGAAGAACCCGGTCATGGAACTCAATGAGAAACGTCGTGGGCTGAAGTATGAGCTCATCTCAGAGAGCGGAGGGAGTCACGACAAACGCTTCGTCATGGAGGTGGGCCTCAAACACACATGTGAATCCAATAGCATTGTGGCATTGACTTTTGCTCTAAAAAGCATCAGTCACACCTTTTTTTTTTATAAAGACAAGAGTTATATGGATCCTTTAAAAAGTCTTAAAGTCATCATTCAAAATTGTGGTGTTGATCTGAGTGAAACTGCTTCTCATACAAGAACAAATGTAAGGCAGGACTTGCTTTTGTCTGTGGGGAATTGTTTGTGGTTTGCTATTGGTGGATCTCATTTGAGTGACGGGTTGCCCCACACTCGCGCCAGTAAACAGAGAAAACATGTTGTTGTTTTAATGAAAGCTGACATGAATTAAAATAATGATGTACATTTGTAATAATTTACAATAAATGTTCCATAAAAAATAAGAATGCTCAATTTTATGGTGACTTTAACAAAAGTATATCAAAAAGTCTTTATTATAATTTCAAGACGTCTTGCTGCAAATTTGGGATGGAAAACAGGAATCAGAATATGGTTTAATGTGATAATTATATTTCAAAAGGCTCAAATTAAATTGTGAGTGATGTGAGTTTCAAAGTCAAAAAAATTATGCTTAGTGATTCCTTGTGATCTGCTATTGATGAATTATGAAAATGATTATGGTGTTAATATTTTAATGTTTTGTAGGTGACTAAGAGTGCTTATCTCTCTTATCATTTTCAATGAGCCGGGAGCAGTGACGCATAGACATTTGAAAATAAGTCACCCAATGTATTTTAGGCTCGTTTATAATTACAAGTTTTCAAGTATTATGCATACAGTATTTTTTCTGGATATTTTAGTATTTTATTTATGAAATAAACTTTTCTGTTGTTTTCAAAGTAAACTCTTGCAGCCTCTCTCAGGGCCGACCCGTTACAGGAAAGACTAAGAACATTATATAACACATTTAATATATGGATTTTACTCACACAACAGTGTTTTATTGCCTGTCTTTGAAAACATTGTCATCATATCAGCAAAATCCAATATCGATCGACTTCTAAAAGAAAGCACCTTATGATACACATCATCTCACATTTCAGTCATTGATGTATGATGTAATTTCCTGTTCGAGACCCTCCTCATCCCGTGCTCTCGTTGGCAGGTGGAAGTCGACGGGCAGAAGTTTCGCGGCGCAGGGCCCAATAAGAAAGTAGCCAAAGCCAGCGCTGCCCTCGCAGCTCTAGAGAAACTCTTCTCCGGGCCGAATGCTGCTGGAAACAAGAAGAAGAAAATAATCCCTCCGGTAGGTCCTAGATATTTTGTAATAAAAATATCCTGGATGAAACTGGGACCTGCAGACTAACTCATCGTTTTTGTCCAGAAATCAATCTGTGGCAACCTTACACATAGATTCTCAGTGCTCATTAAAGCCTGTGTGTGTGTGTGTTGTAGAGTAAAGGGGCATTAGCTGCCGCTGCTGCTGTGTCTGCCGCCGCGATCCAGGCTGCACGAGGACGAGGAAGACACACTCTCACGCGAGGAGCTTTCGTCAGCGCTGCGGCCGCACCGGGATACGTCACGCCAGGTGTGTGTTTGGTGACTGTCTTTCTATAGTGACTAAAAGCCTGTTTACTTCAAGTTGACTTTTTGACCCATGTTAAATTGCATTCACCAATGCATTTCTATAAAAGAAGTCCCAATTTACCCATAACCATCGTTCGAAATCAAAAATGTTTAAGGGATACTCCACTTTTTTTGGAAATAGGCTCATTTTACAACTCCCCCAGAGTTAAACAGTTTCTGGTCTCATTGACTTCCGTAGTATATATTTCTTTCCTACTATGGAAGTCAATTATACCAGAAACTGACTGGTTACTGATATTCTTCTAAATATCAGAAAAATCGTCTGAATGCATTTGAGAACGGTGAAACTCAACTGTTTAACTCTGGGGGAGTTGAAATGAGCCTATTTCTGAAAAAAGTGGAGTATCCCTTTAAGTAGCACAATTTTTCCAATATTGATAATAAGAGTTTGAGCGCCAAATAAAATGAGTAATGCATTCTACGGAGCTCTAAAGGGACATGGTTAGGCTTGCTGCTGTAGTTAAATTACAGTCCATTAGATTTCACGGATCATGTGAAGAGGGTAAGGAGAATGACTGACAAGACAATGGCGGAAGATTTGATGTGCAACAGATCCTGAGTGTTATTGACAAATATCTTGTATAATGTGCGGTCAGTGCCACTGCTCCCTATACACAGAGTGCACGTGATCGCAAAAGTTAAAAGCAAGTGCTCATTCAAAAGCGATTTCATATTGATAGCTATGATGCCCGCAAATTATTTACAATATAATTACACAACTATATAATTGCAAGAAAAAGCAAAATCATTGGAATATAATTTTTCCTCCCATCTCATATTTTTTTCATCACCATGTCCCTTTAGAGGCTCCATTGCATCATTTCATTTCCAAACACAGTATTCTGCTTCAGGGACATCCCTACGATTGACCGATACTATCAAAAATCTTTCATTTCGCTGATATGGAACTGATATATTGTGCGTCTCCAAACAATATATAGATATATATGAATTTATTTATTTTTTTATATTTTCTTCATTTATCTGAACATTTTTTAGGGTATGATGTAAATTGTTTTCAAATATATTCAATAGCTTTAATTAATGGCTTCAAATGCTTTAAAAGTTATCTGGTCAATAAGATTTCATTTTGATGAACTCTAACTCTTGTTGTTTTTAACATGGTATTTTGTCACAACATTGTTTGCATCTATATTTGCTTGGTAATTAGTAGATGTATTTACATATAATCAATTTATAGTTTATATTATATTATTCAGACAGGCTCTTTCACATGGCTCATGTCAGTAAGATTGTGAAGGAGTCTTAACACTTACCTCCCAGTCCGTCATGAATACCGTGTTCTCACAGGCTTTGGAGCCCCATACGGGTACAGCGCTGCGGCCGCCACTCCTGCATACGGTACGTACCCCTTCCTTCCCATCCTCCCTTCCTCCAGTCAGGGTCTAGGGTCCAAATCTGCCCCCACTTACTCCCCCGTTCAGTTCTCCAATTGGGCTTTCCAACCCCCGAAATCAATTCCACAAAGAATCCCGTCGAGAAACGACTCCCTGGACGATGGAACTGAACCATAACCTTTTGGTTCTTAATTGTGGTTGGAGCAAGACTTGCTGCACCTGGCCTGAGTGTGACTTTGCTCGTCTAGTCTGCCTGCTCGACGCTTGGCCCGTTTCTCCTGACTCTGGGCGGCTCTCGAAGCGTCGGCGTAGTGCTACTGTCTACAGCACACAGTTACACCATTCAAAGCAGCCGCTGGGCATGATGGCCTGAGAGGAGAGATCACAGTTTGAAGACTAGTACTGCGACTAGCTAGCAAATTAGGGACGGTTCACATAAATATAAAAATTCTGTCATCATCTATTCACCCTCATATATTTCCAAACCTGTATTTGCTCACACAATCCCTTCACACAATTAAAGTCAGTGGGTTTCAAAAAACAACATTGGAATCTATTGACTTTCATTGTAGGGACAAAAAAATGGTTGGGGTAAAAAGGCTTGAAAAACATAAGGGTGAGTAAATGATGCCAGTTTTATTTTATTTGATTTTTTTTTGAGGGGGGGAGGGGCTATTCCTTTAAGGCACCGCTAAATAACCGTTTAATAGTTCAACCCTCCGCCATCTAAAAGCATGTTCGCACCAAGAATGATTTAACATGTACTACAGTATATTAGCATCTGCTTTAAATGCTTGAGCTCTTTAGAGTCGGGTGATATTCTGATTGGCTGACAATCATTTTTATTGTGATTCCAACTAAATTCTTCTACAATTATTAAACATTTATTAATAATAATGTACAATTATTAAAACTTTATTATTGTAGTTAACGTTATAGTTGTCCTCCTAGGTGTGAACAGCCCTATACTATGTGCTTGAATCGCTCTATCGCAAAATCCCTTATTTAATTTCTGTACTGGTCAGGGGGTATGTTTATAATATTAAAACAGAAAATTCAAAAAATTAAAATTCGTATCATTTACTCACCTTGCCATCCTCCATCTCTGAGTCCATTTAATGAAAGCCGCAGTCTATAATCCACATGACCCCAGTGAAATAATCAATGTATAAGAAAAAAATATATATATTTTTAACTTTCTGTAAATCATTGTGTCTGGTATGAGCGTTCATGAGAGGGACATTGTGTCCAGGGCCGGCACTAGCCATTTGGGTGCCCTAAGCACAAATGCTTGGTGGTGCCCCCATACCCCCCACCCCACCCCACCCCCCAACCACCCATACCCATGTATTTTAGCATTGACCCTGCATTCAGAAATACAAGACAAAATATTCATGGATTCTACTGAATCATTAACCATCATACAAAAATATTGCACACATTAGTCTTTTATATAATATAGGCCTATGTGTCACTGGAACATTTAAAACTCAAAACTCTATTCTACTTTTAAAAGAGGTCTGATGAGGCACAATATAATAATTCTGTACATAATTTGTAGGGCTGGGAAAAGATTAATCGTGATTAATCGCATCCAAAATAATGTTTGTGTCTACATTAATGATATAGGCCTATGTGTGTGTACTGTGTATACTTATTTTGTATATATATATATACATGCACATTTGCATGTATGTATTTAAGAAATATTTGTTATTTATATATAAAATATTTTAATTTATATATAATATAAATTATCTATAAATATATACAGTATATACATGCAAATATTTCTTAAATATATATGTGCATATGTGTGTATATTACAAAATAATTATATACAGTACACTCACAGATCATGTAGAAACTTTTATTTTGGATGTGATTAAGCTTTTCCCAGCCCTAATAATCTAATCTAATAATAATTCTAATTGCAGTTTCACCAACAGATGTCGCCCTTGGGCCTTTGACCGCATTATCCGCATAGAACAACAACGAAAAAACGTATCTAAGCGGTCTTCCTTTTCTTCTCAAACAAACTAACTGCATCTTAAACAGCCCAAGTTGAAAAATGTCCCGGAGAAACCCCCGGACCCCCGTTAAAATAAAAGATTCTACATGCTGAGCAAAGCCCTGGGTCATTTGCACAACTACTAGCGACGCCCCCCTGGACATGCATACACGAAGCAAGGGCGCCTACAAAACTAACACTTTTATTTAAAACATTGTCTTAGCTGCAAGCGAGTATTATCCCGCTGTCTCTTCTTTTCCCCTTTTTCCGCCCCCGACTCTTTGTGCCTTTTCGAGGCCATGTCTGATGTCGATCAGGTGTCTGCCAAATTTGACACTGATTGAGGAACAGACCACTGCAAGGTGTGGAAGGGGGGGCACCAGAGGGAGACTGGCACAGGAGATTCACCTTTTTCTCCAATTTGGTCTAGCCTAGGCATATTACTTTTGTATTGCTTTTGTATATTAACATGCTTTAGACATATTTTATTTGTTATTTATACTAGTAGCCTATTGTGATGATTTTTCACGACCCAGATTTTTTGGTGCCCCCCCAAGCACTTGGTGCCCTACGCGCAGTGCGTGATGTGCGTGTGCGGAGCGCCGGCCCTGATTGTGTCATGACTTTGATGCGTTTTGAAGTTCACGTGAGAAGTAATGTGGAAGCACGGAGGACCGCATTTTCTCGTGTGAACTTCACAAAGCATGTGTGTCACATTGTCCCTCTCATGAACGCTGGTATGACAGTAAACTGGGAAAAAAAAAAAAAACATTTAAAATGTTATATTTTTTACACACACCAATCATTTGGCTTCAGAAGTCAGGTTCATCCACTGGGGCTGTATGGATTACGGTCACGATTGCTGTGTGGGTTTTTTTTTATGCGTCAACCGAGCAGCAAGCGTTATATGGACTCAGAAGATGGCTTGAGAAAATGGTGAGAGAAAATACATTGTTGAGTGAACTATCTCTTTAAATTGATTACTTAATTATTTAAATAATTAATCACATTAAATCAACTTTCTAAATTGGCATCCCCAGTTAATATTTTAGTAAACACAGTATAATCTTCAAACTTTCCCACATCCTGGGTCCGCCTGCCTGTACATTGTAGACTAGAGAAAGCTCTGACTGATGAGAAAAGTGCAGCGGCCTCTTGGGATACTTAAGTGTTCATCAGATGTACACTTCGAAATCTCAGCAGTGTTTCAGCCTCTGTTTTTATAGAGCGATTTCGGACACACTGTTCTGCTATACAGTAGCGAAGGCACATTCAGAACAGCGTTCATTTCTATTATTTATGTAGCGTATTTATTAATGTTTTAAATTAGCTTTTATTTTTAATTTCTTTAAAGTTTAGTAATGTTATGTGCTTTTGTCATTTTTATTCATTTAAAAATATTTCTATTCAGCTTTATATTTGTTTCAGTTTTAGTAGTAGTTTTTTTTTAAAGAAAGTAAAAAACATTTCGAATTTTTTATTAATTAAGTTTAAGTTTAAGTTTTTCATATATTTTTTTTATTTTAGCTTTATTTCTATTAAGAAAAACGTATTAAAAAAGATTTTTAAAATGGCTTAAATGGTTTTAGTTTCCGTTAATAATTTGACTGACCTCGAATAACTGCCGTTTTATGTTTAATATTCATTGCCATTGTCGTATCTGTCTGAAATTGCTGCTGAGTTTTGACACATAGTTCATGACGTTACACTCCACGCAAACACACCGCTCAGGGACGCCCATTCCCATCGTAACTTCTAAACACAAATAGAGGAATGCGCACACAGTAAACAGATTTGTAAGCGCCTCTCCGGTCAGGCCCAGATGAAGATGCTTTGAATGAGCCTTATGTGCAGGGGGGGACTAGGTGAGGTGGGCTCAGCGGGAACGAGGGCTGAATTTGGAGGGTCTGTGTGTTCGTTCCTCGCAGGATGAGGGGGGTGGGTATGGGGTTGCTGCTAGCGGCCTGGTCTCTGCCTGCCACATAAAGACTGTTCCTTTAGGTGGAAGGTGAAACCTGGTATTGTGCTGTAAGAGAACAGTGCGCCCCTCTCTTTGACGTCTCTCCGGTTTGGTGCCTGAGAGCTGTGTGCATGCAGTAATTCTCACCAGTCATCTTACGCTGTCCAACCCTTTTCCTCCTGTTGCTGCTTTGGGATTTCTAAATGGGAACGACTGTGAGACTACGACTACTGTTCTATTCACACACACATACACACACACTCACACACATGGCACAGAATGAACACTCCACATAAGAGCACCAGCCAGCAAATCACTCCTGTAACCCTCCATGTGCCCCGACCCACATTTCAAATATACATGTATGGTTCAGACACCACTTTTAACTTATTACTTTCAATTAGATAGTTCTGTCTAGTTGTTAAAACTAGGGCTGGGTGATATTGAATATTTATGAATATCACAATGGCATTGTGCTGTTTTTACATTTCTTAAAGACTTTGCTAGTAAACTAAGCTGCTTGTATGTACTGAATGTCGATACTTAATGCAATGGTGATAAAAAGAGAGATTTAAACCTTCCGGAAAAAAAAAAAAGTTAAACTTGTCTTCGGAAAACAGTTCTTTTGATAAATGAATAAAAATAAGCATTATTCTACAAAAATTGTACTTGATTTATACATTGGGAATATAATTTTAAAAATTCGTTTTAGTGAATTTCGTTAATTTCATAAAAACTGTGGAAAACATATCTTGATTATTTTTTATTAGATTTATACTGAATAAAATCAAAAATATATACTTGTTTATTTTTAACTAAAATGTCACAGTATATTATTGTTTGTTAGATTTATTCATAGTAAATAAAGGAAAAGATAATTATTATTCCTTTAATTTAGTGTTTGTTTTGTGGAAAACGTACCATTATTATTATTATTTTTACCCTAATTTCACTGTATTTTATTGTTTGATTTATTCAATGGCTAAATTGGTGATAAATTGGTTAAAATCTTGGAGACTTTCCGAACAAACACATAAATGCTGTAAAATAGCGACAAGTTGTTAGTATAACAACCAATCAAATGAAAGATCTGGAGCTGTTAGGTTTTATTGTATCTACAGTATATCGCCCAGCCCTACTCAAGAGCCATTTTTCATAAGATGACTGAATATACCATGTGGTTCAGCTGGTCAACTGTGTGTGTATATCATATCACATGACATTATCTGAATGAATGCTTGATTTCTGCCCTCTCTCTTCACCTGACCTCACTCTTCTCCTCCTCTCTCTTGGGTTCATATCCCCATGCTAGAATAAGACTGAATTGGCTCTAGCTTTATTTAAAACAAAACACCCTCAGGTCTTTTATTTTGTCCTGGACTTATGTGGAGTGCTCTTTTCATTTTCTCTCTAGGTTTGCCCAAGAGAATGCTTCTGTTGCCCGTCATGAAAGTGCCCGCCTACCCCGTCCCCCACTACTCTTTCTTTTAGCTCAGGAGCCTACCTTACACACACACACACACACACACACATACACACACAGACACCGCGTAAATGTACATGAGGAGGGAAGGTCAGAGAGCACATCCCTACCACACACAGGGACAGCTAAGAGGGTATATTTGTAAAGAGCTTTTTATTTGATCATTTATCTTCTGGTTTTAAACAAATACAGGTTTTATGTTCTTCAGAAAGAAAACTTGAAGGATTTGTACTGTGAATTGTTACCTCATTCTTGGACATTTTAAATGATATCAGCCTCTTTTGTTATCATGGGTTTTCTTGATTGGGAATAGGCAGTCACGACAGGCTTACTGTATGTACGGATATATCAGGAGCTGTGCTTAAGATGTATAGATATAATTCAAACTACTGCTTACAAATAAACCTTTATCTTCATCAACTGCCAAGCACTGACTGTTGTATATTTCAGATGTCTTTAGTTACTTCTGTAGCAGTTATATATTCCTCTATAGCAGTTTTAGCCGTTCTGAATGAACATTTGGTGTAGCTTTCAGATACTTAAAGAAGTTTAAAAGCATGTTCCAGGTTCAATGCGACTTGTGCTCTTAGGACAGCATCTTCATATTTTGTGAAGACCACAGAAAATAGGTTTGATTTGTCCCTTAGTTTGTAAGTGAAAATTGCTGTAATGCACTTTCTGTTTTGCTTTGGATTTAATTTGTTTGTTTTTTGTTTGGTTTGTTGGACTAAATCGAAGTCTATCTGCACTGTAAAAATGAATATGCTTTATCTAATCAATAGAATTGTGGCAACAGATTACACAAGCAATATTATTAATTAAATTGAACAAATTAGAATTGAGTAAAAATTAACAAAAATGTCTCACTAACTGACAGATGTCAAAGATTAATTAAGAACTTTTTATTTTATGTTGTGAACATTGAAAACACCTGACAAGCAGAACAAGCACAATCACTGAAGGAGAAAAACGTCATTTTAAAACTAACCTAAACCAAACCCTGATCACCATAATGGTGACTTCAATTATGTTTTTTTTTTTTTGTTTTTTTGTTTTTTTTGGTTGTTGTAAGTTCTACTCATTTTAAATGGTTTACTTTTAAGGAATTCATTTGATTAATTTTTACTCAATTCTAATTTGTTAAATTTAATTAATAATATTGTTTGTAATCTGTTTTTTTGGATTAGATAAAGCATATTCATTTTTACAGTGTAAGTCTATTCTGAAGTTTTGTTGTTTTTGTTTCAGGTTTTTTTTTTCTTTTTTTTTTCGTTTGGTTTGCAAAGCCTTGACTGTGTTAACATGCACTTTAAAGCTATATTTTAATGTTATGTATTTCAATATAAAATATTTAGGGAATATTTAATGACTTCCATCGAGTACATTATTCTCACAATCTGTTTTTGCAAACTGGGGACGTATCTGTTCTCTTCTAAGATAATCGACAGAATGTATTGAACCCGGAACATTACTATTTATTTAATTCTAGCAGCTTGTGTTTCCAGACAGAGCTTGTTTTAAAACGTTGGACGTTTAAGAATATCAGCCTGCAGTTTAGGAGCTTTTTTGGGCATTTAACACGTCGAGATTTCATGCCAAACTGACCCCTTTTGCGTTAGTTATGAAGCTGATTATTTGAGTTAGTTATGAAGCTGATTATTCCATTCATAGTCATTAAACATTACGTTTCCGGGTTTGGTTGATCAGGTTTTGGATGTCGACTGAACAGTTAGTAGTATTGAACCATACAAAGACACACATTACACACACACGGCTCAAACACGGCCCCTCACATGGACACACACCGGAGCCTCCAGTCACAGCCTTACAGCGGAGAATCGAAAGCAGCAACAAGGGATCCATGGAGACATGCTACTGAAATGTCTTTTTGTCCTTTTTTTGTTTTGACTTCTTGGTGAGTGTCTTATCGTGTGTGAGATGTTATTTCATACTCCTCCAAAGGCCAGCACAAGCGAATTCACATTGAGGTTCACGTGCGCTCACTTTGCTCGGGGGGTCTTTCCTAACCACTGCTAATTTAGTATCATTGAGATAGTGTTTATGAATATTTTAATGATTTTTTTTTTATATATATATATATTGAATTTTATTCATGACCTTTTACATAAATGTTTTCAGTTATCTGTAATAACCCTGTTCCTGACCCTTTGAGCTACAGACGATGCCACACACCTGAAATATAACATTGGCTTTGGTACATTGAGAGCAAATACACCAGTCCCTGTTTCTACAAACGTTCTGGATTTAACGTTCATGAAACATTGACTCCATTGGTTCTCGTCGGATCACCTGGATCAATGCTTGTGCTGGCTTATGGCTGGGTCATGATCATCACTTACCAAAGAGGAACTCCATCTCCATGGTTAAACGAGTGGTCACTATTTTCCCATTCATTGTAAACGGATCCCTCCCATTCGTCATGGTCATCCTCAAGTGTCCACTCAGAACCAATGGCCTGTCCTCTTTGGTAGTGATAGCAGTCATTGTACTATACTCTCTCCAAAATCACAACAGATCTGATTTTTCAGAGTTATGTACTAACTACATCTGTATGGAAACCTCAGAGGTGCCACATACGTTTCACATTTCCTCTGCCTTCTATCAAAGGAATGAGCTCCAAGTTTTTTTTTTTTTTTTCCGTTTTGTCGGAAAGTTAACCGTGCAGCTTAAGTTGTTGATGTCTTTTTTATTAACCTGAGACGCTCCCAGTGCAATGAAAACCCCACGTACAGCCCGAAAGAGCAGAGACCCTAGTATCCACCCCTGTGGCACACCCTAACCCTATTTCCCTCCTGCCATCAGAATGTGTATATACATATATATATACCGCTGCCTCCTGCCGTGCCGCATCATTAATCGCAGCTCTCTCTGCTCTTGTCCTCACTGTAGGTGGTCTTTTCATTGACAATCCCTTTTACCAGCCGCGGACCATCGCTCCTTTTTTTATTCACTTGGGTCCTCAAGATCTCTTCTCTGACTTCTAGAACCATCAGGTTGTGTGGCTCTAAACTGTCGTACCACTCCAGGCATGACCAGGCTGTCTCCACCGCACAGAGACGGCCCAAACTTCATTCACAAACCCATCCAAACCCAATCTAAGGATCCAAAAATGCACCACTCTTACAAAAGCAATACTCTATTTGACTTGCTCGTCCCGAAAACCGGCCGGGGGACCTCGGTTCCTCTTTATATAGCAATACACTTGAACTCTTTTGGGCTTTAAGCTTACTTGAGATGTGAATGTTCGGTTGAGTCTTACTCAAACTTGGCGTTGCAATATAGTCATTTTCATTGTATACTCACCACATGTGTATGTGTGGCTATATTATAAATACACGCATATATATGTATGGTCTCTGGCACTATAAATATATATGTGTAGATATACCGATGTACTTATGTATATTTATATGCAGCATATGTATTTATATAAATATACATACATACACACATATACATATTCTTGGTATTAATTATTTTAGAATTGGAAAGTGATATTTAACCATTATACTAGGATATATCTTTCTTCCAGTTTTATATATATACAGTATACATATATGCTAAGCAATTTAATCTAGTAAATTATTCTTGTGAAAATGCAATATGAAAGCCCTTTTCTTAATCTACCTGTAGTAGATTAGTGATGCTTCCTTCTCTCCGACTCGGGCGGCTTGGCCGTGTGTTGGTCAGATCTGCGCGTGTGCGTGTTTTTGCTCAGTCCACCAAAGTCTGGCGTTCTGGTTGGGTCAAGAGGTCGCCCGTGCCGCCTACACCCACACCTCACAGGTCTTTCTAAAGCACATCCGACGGCAGATTGGTTTACTCTTTCTGGCCGTTGACTGGGGTGCATACTCGTACACGTCATCACGGTATGAGGGGCAGCTAGTGTGACCCGGTCACTCACTCACTCAATCACTTCTCCCTGCAAAAGCACAGGCGGCTCTCTTTGACGCGGCATAGGTGGCCCTTCATTCGCCCTTCCATTCATTCTGTCATTCGTACTTCTCAGGCCTGTTTCACACTGCACACAAAAGGCACATATTTGGACACATTTCAGTGGCCACTCACATTGCCTGCACAATCATAGCAGAAGCGTAGCTGCAAGTTTCTGTGGAAAACATGCGCAAAATTTGCTGTAAACCTATTTAGCAACACAATATTTAGCATTAAAGGCTTTTATACAGTGACGGAGAAAACCTGACTGAATCCAGATCATTGAAAGAGTTCCGTGTCGAGCAATTTTCAGTAGCGAACTCCCGATAGATGTTTAATACATTCTGGTCGTTATTAAAAGAGACGCTCAATTTAGTCAACCTATTTTTCTTAGTAGTACTGCAGTTCTGTGGGTGTGAAAGCGCAATGCATGTTGTACTGTTGTGAAACAGGCCTCGGGTTAATGCAGCAGCAGCGAGCAGTCGCTCTTTACTTTTGTGCGTTTTTCTTCAGCAGGTCTGTTGTAGCGCAACTGTAGGCCAACTAATTAATAACCGCTCTCAAAAGACTCCCAGAAACAGTACCAACCACAGAGCACAGACATGGGAATGAGCTTGAGGATATCAATTTAGCTGTGCTATATTCAGATTTACAGAACCGTCAGGATTGTTTTACTGTACTCTGAATGCTTATCGTTAAATAATGAAAGTAATTTTTTCTATAAAAATGTCCTTCTCTTGTTGGCTTCACATATACAAGTAGATAATTCAACCAATATCACTAGGAATGTATTGATGTTTGTATGTCAAAGTAGTTTTGATATTTTACTGTGCTTTCAGTAAGCAATTGAATGTCACGATTTCTCACCAAAACCCAAATGTATAAGGCAAAAAAAAAAAAAAATGGTTTTCACTAAAACAGGACACAGCTCACATATATATTGAATGTGTCCCCTTATATCAATTTCCCCATGTATTTAGTCATATTTTAGCTGTTGTGTTTGATTGTGTAATAGTGTAGCTCTCAAATAGGAAAAGATGGGATATAATCACAGAAACAATACAGAATAGTAGTAGAGTAATAATAGTATAGTATCATTCAGTAAAAGCAATAGTACATCATACATCATATGATCATAATATTCTTGCTTGTCATGATGTATTTTTTGGGGGAACACTTTATTTTAAGGTGACATGGTTACATGTTACTTCATGTACTTACTGTAGTAATAACAGTAAATTATGAATAATTACAAGTCACTAACCCTCAGCTGAACCCTAACCGTAACACTATAAAAAGTACATATTTGAGTAAGGACAATGTAACAACGTCCCCTTGAAATAAAGCGTGACCTTTCTTTCTTTTCGTTTTTGAAAACAAATTCATTTTTCTGTTCCCCAACCAGACGAGACTTCGGTCAGTTTTGAATTAAAGCTGGTAAGTCTTGTATGGGTAAGTTTTGTATTAAAATGCAATAGAGATTTGAGAGAAAAGCGCATCAAAAGACAAAATGGCCTTTATTTTTCTTTGAGCTTTATGAATGATCGGCAAACACACAAGGCCCTTTCCTCGATCTGACGCCACACCAGCATTACGCAGTTCAAAAGACACAGTTAACCTTATATTGAGTTGGTAAAACACAGGGCTAACAAAGTGGAGCAAAGAATGTTAATTTTTACATTACGTCGATTCAAAGTCTTCCGTGTTATTTGTGTCTAATCAGTTCGCAAACATAAAACTCATTCACGATAAAGTCGACATGAAATTGGCCCCATTTACTTTCTTTATTAAATGTTTCTTGACTTATTATGAACCTTTTTTCATCAAACTTCCCTCTTATTTTTCAACCCCTCTCCTCTAATCATCTGGTTTGCTTAAACAGGATGTAGCCTAACACTCATTTTCATAATCTAATCAGTTTTCAAAGTAAAACATTCCGCCTTTTCAATTTCAAAACAGGAATAAACTGAATAAACTCACACCATCGGGGCTTGAGCCCTAAAAAGCAGGAGAAAAGAAATGTAGTCCATTTGAAAATACATAATGTTGTATACAGACATGAGTTTAGAATATAGTTGCATGTTGACTTTAACCAAGATTACCTCATGATATGATTTTCCACAATCACAAATGTGCTGTAAAATATTATGTGTTCAAAAACAATGTCTCATAGTCAATAAAGATATTCCAGGGATGTTTCATTAATCCAAATATATAAATCCAGTGTAAAAGCCATATAGGCTGCGTTTACTGCATTGCAAAGATCAGATTTTTTGACAATATCAGATTTTTTTTTTCTTGCCTGCCCTGTTTACATTCACTTTAGAAAAATAATTACAGTAACTCCCACCCAAATAAATATTTTATTTATTTTAATGATTTATATAATTCATGTCGGTTGGTTCCATGATTACTTTCCAGCATGGATAAGTTAAAATCATAGAGCAAAATGTGACTGAGAGGATATATAGGCTAACGGTTTGATTACGGTAATAACGGTTCACTTAGATCTACAATTCTGAAGTGAAATAAAGAAGCATTGAAAGAATGCGTTTATTTAAATTCAGTTGAATAAATTATCAAGAGAGAGATTGAGATTGTGAAGCTGTTTAAAATGACAAAAACTGCAAAGTTATCTCGTTGTAAAGAAATATTCAGTACTGAAGCTGTTTTATTTCTACAATTCACTTCGCAGATGTTAAACACTCTCTATGCTCCACATCTGCTTCATAATACAACATTTAAAAAGCTATCTGTTGAAATCAGATACATTTTTAGGTCAGATATTGTCCATATATCATATTTAAAACCACATTTGGAAGTGTCCCAGAAGAACAGATGCGAAAAATCTGATGTCGTGCAGATGTTTCTGTTTACACATATGCAACAAAATCTGATGTTTGTGCCAGTGTGGACGCAGCCAGTCCGTCTTTATAAACATCAGATGTTGCTGCATTGTTGCTGCAGTGCTTAAAAGCATCAAAATCTTCTCCTGAAGTGCAAATATATGCCAGCCTGCTTTCCCGACAGCCAGATGGTCTTCATAAATATGTTGTTAGAACTCATATTTTAGTTCAGTTTAGGCTAGAATGCTGCTCATCAGCTGCGTTTGTTTCTCAGTGGTAGCGAGGGATGGGAGAAGACATTTACACAGCTGCCATCTCCTGTCAAATTTAGTGCCGAGGTGATGTATGAAATAAAATTCAATGCGCAAGAGAATATCTGATTAAAATAAACCAAGCTTGATTTCCCGGGAGCCATCAAAAGTTAGTTTTATTTCCGATTCCGTTTGCCGACTCGTGTATGATGTCACCGTTTGTGGGCGGGGCCCCAAGATACGCATAAGATTGTACGCCACTTCATCGGCTCTACTCAGGTAGATGTTAAACTCCACTTTCCAGATATGGCATCCGCTTCTCGTGATCTAGCACACTTTGGTTCGTTTGTCGGAGCCATGGCGCAGCAGTTGACATCTTGGAGCTCACATGTGTAGCTAATGCAGGTTCAAGTCCCCAGTGTCTTCAATTTCTGTCCAATACAGTAGCAAAAACGCTTCATTTAGAAAGAAATCCGGATTAAAAGCATAACATTGGCACTGAATGGTTTAATGGACTTGCCTTTGATAGAAAAATACACCACTTAAAATCAAACGACCATATATTTTAGTTTCATGTAGCCTATTTAAATTGACCTATTTTAAATTTAGTACTCTCACTTAGCAACAGAGTGATGATAACCATTAGATTAGAGACACTTTATGACGTCGGTGCTTAATCAATACGAGCAGACTGAAGTGGTGGAATGTTTGTCCTGTCGTGAAAGAAAGGGACTTGTGTGTGGCACTGGAGTTGAGAAAAGCTGGAAATTCAATTTGCGAGCTTGCGATGCAAGTGCAGAGATATAAATCCGGTTTCAGATTGAGCAAGCTTTGCAAAATGAATTGCTGAAGGTAATGTTTTCTCCTCGTCTCCGATCTCTCCCTGCATATGAAGCGGGGCAGATGGGGACGGCCGTCATTTGAGCTGGTTCACGCGCGAGTCCCCGTAGACTGAACCAGCAATAGAGCCGTGTTTAGGTTTGGAATGTATTTATGTAGTAGAATGTACTTTCATAGAAGAGCAAACAGCATCTTTGTAGACGCATCCAAATTCACTGATATTAATTATTTACCTATGATAAAAAATATTCATGTGATTTGTGTGTGTATTTTTTGGGGGTGGGGGGTGTGCGTGCTTATGCCCATTGTTTACGTTTATTTACTTTAATTTGTAACTCACAAGCTTGTGAGCTCTTCCATGATTCTGTAAATACTCCTGAGTCAGACTGCGAATGAAAGCGGTCTGCGGGATTCTCAGTTATCCATACCACAACTTTTATGTAACTTGACAAATTATATAAAGAAAAAAATGATCTAGATTTGAGATATTATAAAGGGTAACAATATAATGTGAAGTGGTGTGCACAACTTCTGTGAGCGAGCAGTGCTTGAACATGACAGCAGTAGATGTTTGCTAGCCGTGGTATCAAATTATAAACTATTAGTTGTGAAAATACTATGGTGGTTTGTCTGTCACTTTTTTTGCCATAATTTATGCTTTTAAAATAAAGTGCTAAATCTCTATAAAGTGTAAACTTTTCTTTTTTTTTAAATAAATCTATAAAAATGTTTTGATGTGTGGTGTATTTTGTTCTGTGTCCGTTCTTTGTCTAGTGCTCTACAAGACAGAAGCTTGTTGCTATCGTATTTTGAATTTCTAAGTTCGTCGCAGTTCGTGGAATTTGTCCGTTATTGATAAGAGAGGTCAAATATCATTGAAATACAATGAATGTCATGTTTGTTTTAATCTAGCCAACCTGTTGTTGGCTATGTATAAGACAGAGGGTATCAATGAGCAACAGCCAATGAAATTGTGAGTTGGAAGAGCGTGACAGAAGGGCGAGGGAGTGCTGGGCCAGCAAGGAGAGCAAGCTTTTAAACGTCCTTGGTCCTGTCCCAATTGACACAATTCAAGTGCATTTGCGGTGGCTATACACAAAGAATGTGTTTTTGCATTTAAAAATGCAAGACGCGAGTGGAATAGAAGGCCTAGAAAGCAAGGCGCTGGTTTCAGAACACTGTCTCATCCACGAGATTCTGCAAAAGACGAGTGCAGTGGTCAAACACGTCCGTCGGTCACTAGCTGTATCCCAATTCAGAGGCTGAAGGACACAGACTTCAAAGATTACGACATTGTCTCTGAGGTTCGGACTGAGCGTTGTTAAATGGGATGATCTAGCCTATAGAGGATAGCTCTTGTTGCCTAGCAACTGTGTCAGATGCCATTGATGAATGACAGTAATATACTGAAAGTAACTTTTTTGAAAGTTATATTAAACTGTATGAAAACATTTCAGGCTACACAAACTGTTTAAATATGTTCACCATGGTCCATTTATGTACATAAAGAGTATAAACAGTATCACTTTACTGGAAGGGTTGTGCATAAGACTGACATAACACCTTCATATTCATTATGGGAGGTTTTATGCAGTTTGCATTGAAACTCTCTTTTGGACCTTGAACCGTTTGGTAAAAGTGCATTATATGAAAAAAATCCTGGAATGTTTTCATCAAAACCTTAATTTCTTTTCGACTGAAGAAAGAATGACATGGACATCTCGGATGACATGGGGTGAGTACATTATCAGCATGTTTTTTGAAAAGTGAACTACTCCTTTAACTCCACGATGACCTTTTGTCATTTTAGGTTTCAGAAGAATGTTCACAAGTTCCCCCTTTGCATGCACTTCTGCCCACACTTTGAGTCACTGACAGTCAAAGCAGCATTCCTTCATGAAAGTGTGGACTCGGAAGACAATGAGGGTTTGGTGTGTTATTTGGGACAGGTCCCTTCGTTGTACCCTAAACACTTGCGATCTTCCTACAAGTCCCCACTTTTGTGATGTAACGCTACTTTGACTGTCGGGGAGAATCCTGTCAATAGTGCGCACCGAGGGCGCATATCGACCGCAAAGCGGGCCGCTCGTGAGCACCCTTCTGAAACCTAAAATGATAACCTTCGGTCTCATGGACTTAAAGGAGACGTGCACGTGACAGCGTCCCAGAAGACCTTAAGTGCATAAGAAGTGTGCCATTTGGTACAGGGCCTAATTTTGGGATAATAATTGTCTGGGATGGTGAAATGGGCGATCTGAAGAATGTAAATCCATACAAATCATGTCCAGCAAGGAGAGCAAACAGTCCCGTAAATCACGCTGACTGGAGCGTATGAAATTCCATGGGATTAGATGACATCAGTGATGTGTTAGGTCTTTGACAACACAAACTGTAGCCCAATCATGTGACTGAGTGGTCTCAACTCAAATGGATCAGATAAGGGAGTCTGGGATGTCTGTGTGATACATGTGTGGGTCCTTGGGGTTTGAAGGGGTTAGTCTTGTCAGTCTCTGGTAACCCACCCTTGACATGGGATCAGTGTGGATAGAACATTCCGGGGAATGTTGGTGTTGGATGACAGATACTGATGAAATGACAGTCCTGCTCCTCGTCTTACTACACTTTTAGTAGGAAATCAGCTCTACGGTGTCCTACGGCCAAGTTCTTTCTTTAGATTGAGGTCCTTGCACACCAAAGTCAGGTCTGAGGTGGAAGAAGAACCAGGAACAGACCCATGAGACTGGCCTCCTCTGAGCTGTTAACACGCATCGAGCCATGGTGAGGTAAGACGGTATTTGAGCATTACGTTGGACATAATTCATGTTGCCAGAATGTAAGAGATCCCAGCTGTTTATTGGACACCTCTCATCTGGGAAAACCATTGCCGATCTCACCCCTCTGCAGCTGCTGCTCACCTCCATTGGAAGCTATTTTGGATGACTGAGCAAGCAGAACACCAGGCCTGTGTCAGCAAAACCTTGGCAGAGTTGGAGGCACACTTGGGTTGGGTTGAGGTATTCAAGCACAGTCAGGCTCTGGGTAAATGAAGTGCCATCAACGTTCCCCCCTGTTCCCTTCCTCCAAATGAGTTGACTTGTGAGTGACAAGTGAGCTGTGGAGTTTGGTTTCAACAGCGCTGACGTTGAGGTTTGTACTGATGTAACTCCCGGTAACAGGATTCCCAAACCTGTTTAGCACATCATCCCAGGGTGATAATTTTACTGGACCATGTGTCTATTTAAAGAGTTAGCATTCCATGCTAATAAACAAGCATAATGATATTAAAAGACATGCTGAAGGACAGCAATTTCACTGAGTGTTTACTTGTCACATGATCAGTGGTTAAGTCTATGAAAGCTGGTTGAAATACAGTATTAAGGAAACCTGTGAACTGGAACTTAGCAACAGCCTCGCTTTCATACCCGTCATGGCACTTATTCATCGCTCTGAATGAAGTCTATAGAGCAGTTCATTGAGTCACAGATTTGGAATGGAAATATGGGGGTAGGATTGTTCCATTATTCAAAATAAATAAATCATGATCCGCAAATAAATGTAAAGAGATTTACAAAAATAAATCAAATTCACAAATAAATATTAAGATCCACAAATAAATGTAAAGAGTTTCACAAAAAAATATAAAACTCACAAATAAATAAAATGAGATTTGCAAATAAAACTATGTATTTACAAATGTTTTTTATGCCAAAAACACAACTCTGCCTGGCATTTATTTGTGAACCACTTTCTGTGCATTTGTAAATCCCCTCACGCATTTGTGAATCGGTTTCTGTGCATTTGTAAATCCCCTCACGTATTTGTGAATCAGTTTCTGTGCATTTGTAAATCCCCTCACGCATTTGTGGATTTTGAAACACTTCTAGCGTCGAGGTCCAGACAAATCCACAAATAAGTGGACTCCACCCACCGTTTCCTCAAGCCAATCAGATAACAGCCATGTTGAGCTGAGCAATCGTAGCACGTTGTCGCCACAACCAATCACGTTAGGCTTTACACTCGGGGCGGGACATGAATGTGATGAATTTTGAAGATATTTGCACCCTTGTATAGGCCATTTCACAAGATGTAAACAACACTGGTCCAGAAGCACTTCCTGTTTCAGTTTGTAACTGTTTTCTTTATTTCACATGTAAAGAAAACATCTTAAAGATGTTTGTTTAACTTTTTGATTCAGTTTTAAATGTTCTGTTGGTTGTATTTTATCCAAGCTTTTATGTAGTGTTAAAAAACTGAAACAGGAAGTGCTTCTGGACCAGTGTTGTTTACATCTTGTGAAATGGTCTTCATTCAAAATTGAGCTGTTTGTGTGGTTCCAACAACCTGTTTCCAAAAGATTGCTGGAGTTTAAGGCTTTTTTATATTTCCATCGGGATTACACCCAAATTATGATCACCTTCTTGAGCATAACACCCTCTACACCAGAATCAAGCGCCGCGACAGCGCGTCAGAAGCAAATGGTTCGTGGACGGTGGAATTTGGGTAATGTATTTTTTGGACATTTTAATTAAAGTTTCTTTCATGATAAAAACTATTTTATTGCACTCAGAAGGCTCCCCTGAGTCCGTAGCACCAAGCGCCATCCTATAATTCCACCGTCCACGAACCCACTATTTTTATAATGGCATAATGCTACGTGGGATGTCCATATCTCAGCTCTG